TCGCACGCTTACATGAATGGTTCATTGCACTGATAAGCTCGCGAGATCAGGCGGCTTGCAAGGCCAGTAGGATTCCCCCTGCACGACTCAACTAAACTCTGTTGGATCAGCCATGGAGGACGGGATGGGATTGGAGTAGACAGTGGAGTTGAGTCGTGAGCTGGGCTGAGTGGAGGTTTGGAGATCAAATGGCTTTTGAATGGCTTACACCTAGCCCCTTACTCCTAGCCCCTAACTCCTAGCCCCTAATTCCTAGCCTGTAACTCCTAGCCCCTAACTCCTAGTCCCTAATTCCTAGCCTGTAACTACTAGCCCCTAACTCCTAGCCCCTAACTCCTAGTCCCTAACTCCTAGTTCTCTCTCCTCTAGATGCAGTGAGTAGATAGTTGTTATGTATTATAAGGTCATACTACTATTCATCTCATACTACTGTACCACAATGCTTCTGAACGATCGAACCACCCTCGCCCTCTGGTGATGTCATAACGTTAAGGACACTAACAAAGTCCCAGATAGAGGGAAAGAGAGAGAGAGAGAGAGAGATTAGGGCTGGGCTGGCAGAGGAGCGGTCACCGTGCTGAAAGCATTGCTACACTGGCGGCAGGCTGGCTTTGTGGTTTACATATTAGCCCTTTAAAAAGGCAGACAGCTTCCAAAGGCGTTTCAAAGTGTTTGTAGAGCTGTTTCTGAGGAGTGACCTATATAGATTCCCCTCTAAAGCAGACTGTATGGCACATCTGCAATCAAGGGTTACTTCCCTGTGTGGTGTCTCTGTCTCCTTTGTATGACTGTGAAGGACTGAGTGAGGTGAGTTAGTCCCTCTACATGGTCCCTTTCACATAGCTTTAAAGTGAAGCAGGCATAGTTCTTGTTATTTGTATTTGTATTTATTATGGATCCCCATTTGCTGCTACCAGATATAAAGCTGCAAAAATTGAAATATACAGTGCATTCAGAAAGTATTCATACCCCTTCCCTTTTTCCACATTTTGTTACGTTACATTTTGTTACACCTTATTCTAAAATGGATTAAATAAATCAATTTCCTCATCAATCTACACACAATACCCCATAACAACAAAGCGAAAACAGTTTTTTTTGTGTGTGCAAATGTATTAAAAATAAAAAACAGAAATACCTTATTTACATAAATATTCAGACCCTTTGCTACGAGACTCGAAATTGAGCTCAGGTGCATCCTGTTTTCATTGATCATCCTTGGAGTTTGCCAAAAGGCACCTGAAGGACTCTCAGACCATGAGAAACAAGATTTGCTGGTCTGATGAAACCAAGCTTGAACTCTTTGGCCTGAATGCCAAGCATCACGTCTGGAGGAAACCTTCACTCTACGGTGAAGCATGGTGGTGGCAGCGTCATGTGGGAATGTTTTTCAGTGGCACGGACTGGGAGATTAGTCAAGATCGAGGGAAAGATGAACGGAGCAAAGTACAGAGAGATCCTTGATGAAAACCTGCTCCAGAGAGCTCAGGACCTCAGACTGGGGCGAAGGTTCACCTTCCAACAGGACAATGACCCTAAGCCCACAGCCAAGACAATGCAGCAGTGGCTTCGGGAGAATTCTCAATGTCCTTGAGTGGCCCAGCCAGAGCCCAGACTTGAACCCAATCGAACATCTCTGGAGAGACCTAGAAATAGCTGTGCAGCGACGCTCCCCATCCCCCTCCCACGGGGTGCCAGAGAAAAAATAATAATAAAAAATAAAAAATAAAATAATAATGTATGTACTCACTAACTGTAAGTCGCTCTGGATAAATGACAAAAAAAAAAAATCTGCAGAGAAGAATGGGAGAAACTCCCCAAATACAGGTGTGCCAAGCTTGTAGCGTCATAACCAAGAAGACTCAAGGCTGTAATCGCTGCCAAAGGTGTTTCAACAAAGTACTGAGTAAAGGGTTTGAATACTTATGTAAATGTGATATTTCTGTTTTTTATTTGTAATACATTTGTAAACATTTCTAGAAACCCGTTTTTGCTTTATAATTATAGGGTATTGTGTGTAGATTGATGAGGGAAAAAAACTATTTAATTAATTTTAGAATAAGGCTGTAACGTAACAAAATGTGGAACAAGTCAAGGGGTCTGAATACTTTCCAAATGCGCTGTATGTTGTTCTTGAAGAAAAGCTGAGCATTAGGATCCTCCAGTAAATGGGCAGGTTGACGTTTATTGTCATGTGTCTTGCCCTGGAGGTAGAATTGAGCGGTTTACGCTAGATAGGCCAATTGCTAAGTCAAAATGGGCTATATCGTAATAATTCATGAAAACAAAAATTTGCATTTTGGTCTTAATTTAAGGTTAGGGTTATGCATTATGGTTAGGTTTAAAATCTGATTTGATGACTTTGTGGCTGTGCCAGCTAGTGACCACTCTGCAGAGCTGCCTCCAGGGCAAGACTCCAACCTGCACTAAATGGTTGGCAAATATCAACATGAATCAGCCTCATCATGTCGGTTTCCCTTCAACACTATAGGATAGGATTCTGGACAGGATAGGTATTATACTGTACGACATCTGTAAGGGTTTAAGGCCTGTATTTCAGATCTCCACTACTCCTACAGACAACTACATGCTAAATAGCAACACACAGACTCTCCCCCTGTCCCCTGTTCCCTGTCCTCTAGCCTTCCCACTTTTATGTTACAACAGGACAATGGTTATAGACAAAGGGTCGTTTTTCATTCTCCTGCTTCTGAACGAAACTCTCCCCTTGACACACACACACACACACACACACACACACACACACACACACACACACACACACACACACACACACACACACACACATTGAATTAAACCCAATTTTCGTACAGAATTAACATCCAAAGCTATCCTTCAAGCAGTTGGGCCACTTGACTCACTCCACGCAGGCCCACAGTCATCATAATTGCAAACTGATTTTGTTGTCAAATCTGTAATTATGGGGGCTTTTACCTTGGCGGCGTCAAAGGCAGGAAAGACGGATGAGGAGGAGAGGAGAGGAAGGAGAGAAAAAGAGAGAAGAGGAGAGGAGAAAAGAGGACAGGGGAGGAGAGTAGGAATGCAGAGCTGCTTCGCAGGGAAAGAGGTAAGGAGGAGGTGGAGGAGGAGGAGGAGGAGGAGGAGGAAGAGGAGGAGAATCCAGGCAGTCAACATTCCCCAGTCCCTGTGTTATGTAACTGTCTTCCTCACAGAGGGAGGGAAGTAGCACATGGCTAGGTTAGCTCAAACTGGCTCCATTATTGATGCTGTACGGATCGAGGGGGCTTTCCAAGGTTTCACACAGACCGACAGACAGCAGATAGATGAAGAAAACACAACATTGTATTGTGAAGGTCGTGGGCCTCCTGTAGCTCAGTTGGTAGAGCATGGCGCTTGCAACGCTAGGGTTGTGGGTTTGATTCCCACCGGGGGCCAGTATGAAAAATGTATGCACTCACTAACTGTAAGTCGCTCTGGATAAGAGCGTCTGCTAAATGACTAAAATTTAAATATTAAGGATCACGGTAGTGGTGGGGTCACAGAGTAGTTTGAATGTGGGCTGCTGAGGTGAGCTTCTGATGTAAGGTTTTGTATTTAGGGGGGGGGGGGGGGGGGGACTTATATTGTCTTAGACTGTCTGTCATTAAAACCCCTGTCCCGAGTCTGTCAAACACCTGAATGTAACATGCATAGTAAGCAAGCGCTCAATGATTAGCAGTAGGAATGGTGTCTGGCCAGCAGAATTTTCCCTTCACCCAGTCAGTCCAGTGTGACATTGAAGGACGAGCCATAACCAGATAAGCAGAACATACATTCTAATAGCTTGGACAGAGGGGGGAGAAAGCTGAGGGTAAGAGTAAATAGGGCAGAAAGCACCTTTTGGCCATCTGTGGCCAGTCAGCAGCACTATGGTCTGCTCTGCTATGTAGTGCACTCAGTGAGCTGCTTGACTGGCCTGGAAGGGCTCTGCTATGTAATGTACTCAGTGAGCTGCTTGACTGGCCTGGCCTGGAAGGAAGGGAGGGAGGCCGAGGTGGGTGAGGTGAATAAATGGGTGTGTTATGGCAGGCTAAGCACGCCTCGTGCCATGCTCTCTGACCCTGGGCACTCTGGGGGTCTGGGGTGGAGGTGAGGGAGGGAGAGATAGGGAGGATGTGCCATCAGTAATGGCCTGAGCTCCTGGCTGCTCCTGGCTGGCCCTTCGGTAGTGAGGCTGGGAGACTGATTTAGCGTGATGTCCCTCTCCCTCTGTTTTCCTCCGTATTGATCTCCTGACATGCCGCCTCATGATAGTGCAGGCAGGACAGATACGAGAAAAGAGGAGAGGAGACAGAGAGAGAGAGGCAGTGAGGGGGAGGGGGAGAGAGGGGGGAGAGAGGGAGGGAGAAAAGGAAGGATAGAGATGAGAGAGAGGGGGCGAGCAAGAGAGCGAGAGAGAAAGAGAGAGGGGGGGGGCAGAAGAGAGAGAGAGAAGTGGATGTTGTGTAGTGATAAACCAGACTACATTCTCATTACAGCTCTATCGCTCGTCTGGTTCTGGAGGTTTCGTGCTCTGTCTGTTAGGACAAGGACTAGTCCAACATCACCCTGCTGAATAAAGGGCATTCTTATGTTCAATGCCAGACAAAAAAAACTCATCATATTATAGTGTGTGTTTCTACATTGTAATAACAGTACATTGATTATTATATATATTTTTTTTAAGCATTAAGTATTGAATAAAAAGCATATGACCTAAATAATAATTGATTCTGTAGCTCTTTAACCTGCTACACATTGGATGTTTTTGGACAATCTGCTTTCACAGACACAATCTGCTCCCTTTCCCTCACAGCATGGATATGTTTAAACATACACAATGTTTCACCTCTTTCTCTCTCTCTCTCTCTCTCTCTCTCTCTCTCTTTCTGCTCTCACCCCCCAAATTGTAGTAAAAACAGCATCAATAATTAATGATCCAATTAATAGTTTACACTGGTTTCTATTGAGTTGTCAAAGTGATGGATGGCCTGCTGGCAATGAGCTCTTTCGCCGCTGTGTCTTCCCCACGTTGTGCTGCTGCCGGAACCCTGAATCAGCACTTTGGTGGTGGGCCTCCGCTCCTGCTGCGCAGAGCCCGAGTGAAACCAAATGGGGGGCCGGGAGGGAGGGAGGGACGAGGGAGGGAGGAGGGAGGGAGGAGACTGCTGATGCTCACAATTTACAGCCGTGATGAGTTTCCTGTTGGCTGAAGCACCCTCAGTGGGGTTTTTACCGGGCCTCACCAGGGCCACACCTGGGATCAGGGCCCAATTGTGGTTGGCACTGTTAATAAAACAGGAGGGAGAGGGAGGCAACAGAGGGAGACCACATTCTCTAGACTGGGACTACAGTAGCCTAGCCCAGCCCCCATCTAAGGCATGTGGCAGCGGCGGTGGATGGTGTGTGTGTGTGTGTGTGTGTGTGTGTGTGTGTGTGTGTGTGTGTGTGTGTGTGTGTGTGTGTGTGTGTGTGTGTGTGTGATAGCCTTCAGATGAGCTGGAGAGAGAATGACTGCGGTTCCAGGGACTCACTCTTAGTTTAACACACTGCTTCGGTTCTGCGTCTATGTGATTTAAACATGTCTATGTGATTTAAACATGTCAATATGATTTAAACATGTCTATGTGATTTAAACATCTGTGATTGTTAGAATTGCAAGCCGTATGCTGTTTGGGGCTATCATGAACACAATTGCAAAGTAATTTGGTTGCAGCAGCTGAGACAGAGAGAGGCAGGGAGAGGAGAGGCAGCGATGCTAAAATGTGTTATTGTGTTTATGGCGAGTAGCATCAGCAGCTCGGTGTGTTTGTGTGTGTGTGTGTGTGTTTGTGTGTGTGTGGCAGGGAGGGTAATCAGTGTTGAGTGTTGTCAGCTGTTGGTTTCAGCGGGTCACGGAGGGCACAGCCCATCTGGGGACTTCCATAATGTTTTATCACTGGGCATAACTGTATACAGTAAGTGGTTTGAGCACCCACAGGGACGGGTGGAGGGGTGAAGGGATGGAGGGCTTGTGAAAGGACAAGGGGAGGGGTGGAGGGATGGAGGGCTTGTGATAGGACCAGGGGAGGGGTGGAGGGATGGTGATAGGAGGAGGGTGGCTGGTTGTTTTGTATAGAACTTGACCTTGCTCTGCCATGCAGTGTCTCGGCCTGAAAAATATTCATGAATATTGATGTCGACGTTTTTTACTGTTTTCTCAGCTTCCAACGACATGATCCTCAACCCTCTTGATAGCAACCCTAGAGTAAAGCTACAGGCCAGGGCTATACATTTAGAGAGAAATATTGAGAGAGCATCTTATCTCCCCCCATTCCCTTCCCATCTTACCCAAACCCCCAACCCTAACAGCATATGAAGCATAAAGCAAATTTTATGTCCTTCCAACAGAATTCCCTGACTTCTCCCAGATGTAGTTATGTATTCACCAGGCTAACTGCTTTATGGAGAGCTGATGCGAAGGAGATGATGCGTGCAGCTTTGGGTTGCATAAATGCACTGGTTCTATTTCACTTTACCTGTGCCTGCAGACATATGGGCACACTGTGTAGTGTGTATTACAGTCGGTTGAACTCACACACGCATACTATTAAAAAAATCTAGTTGTTTCAACTAATTATTATTAAGTAACTTGTTCCACAGCCTATTTTTTGTTGACTCAACTTTTCCGGCCAAGTGTTACCTGAACAAAATAAAAGAGTTTGCCCAAACTTAGCTTCAATTTTAGAAAACGTAGGCAAAAATTCAGTCAACTTAAAATGATGTGTTTGCTCAAATTGTCTCATATGTTGATTCAACTAGACATTTTTATTTGAGTGTCTTACCTAAAAAAGGCTGTGAAACTAGTTACACACACCGCACTTTTAACACACAATGTTTTCACCTGTATTGCTACACTTTGCACTTCAAAGTAAATCTTAGCTCTGTTAAAAGTACATTCAAAATTGCTGAAATAAGTAAATAAAATAAATGATGGGAGAATAGTCAGATTAACTGATAATTGACACAGACATTGTGTCATAGCAGGAAAATCGAAATGCCATGAACCAAAAGGTTGGGAGTTCAAATCCCACGTGAGGACATGTTGAATATGAATTACTCTGTAAATGAACATGCACAATGTCAACGTGTATCAAATTTGTAAGTTGAAAACATTGTATGTTAAAAACCGTGTGTGTGTAACCAGTTGCAAAGCCTTTTTTTTTGTTCAGATGCCCAAATAATAATTTATAGTTGAGTGAACATATGAGACAAGTTGAGCAAACACATCATTTTAAATGGACTGGATTTTTGCCTACGTAAAAAAATAATAATAAAAGGATTTTAAAAAAAGAGTGCATACATACGCTAAGCTATATATCGCCACATCGGCAATGAAGACAGATCCAGTGTCCTGAACGGTCCATTGTGACAAAATCTGTGAGCAAGTGGCTGGCCATACCTCATACTATGTAGCTGTATGCTTTTAATTTGAATAATTTCATGATGCCGAATTTTTGTCTTATTGGGTTGTAAAGTGAGTGGCCTATGGAAGCTAATAGTACTACTAAATAGGAGTGTTTATCAGGAGTGTTTAATGTGTTGATATATTTTCCGTTGGCTGAGAGAGACAGATAGAGAGAGAGACAGACACTAATATCTCATGTTAACTTCAAAGAAAGAATGCTGCAAAAGTACTCATCCTCTCCTCAGCCCTCCGTACCTCTCCTTCTGTCTGGGAAGACTTCAACACTCACTACTTCTCACTCTTTTCATTAGCTGGCTTTACAAGCCTCTTCATCAAATTGAAGTGCTTGTTGCAATCTCTCTCTGAACATCCACCACCCACCATCATCAACCAGAGGAAACGCTGCTGAAGTCTATAACGAGATGATGTCGTTCTAGAAAACAGGTCCAGAAGTCATGTTGGATCTAAAGATGATGATCTCTCTATCAGGAGAGAGATGGGTTGAGAATGGATGGAGGAGAGAGAGAGATATATCGGCATTTACAGGGACTAGTTGTTGGTTTGTCTGAGGGAGCCAGTCTCCATCGATCCCCCTGAACCACATCAGACAGATTACAGACAGACAGACTGACTGAGCCTTATTGGAGAAAGTGCACACACAGAGCACAGACACAGAGAAAAATATGAACTCTCTCCCTGACTGCTGAAGTCCCTGCCTGGCCTGCCGGGTTGAGGGAATATGACTGCTACTCACTCAACACAAAAATAAGGGAAAAACTGAACATGTAATGGCATTATAGCCATTTGCCCAGCCTCCATCTCTCAAGGCTGTATCCATCCATCCCATCCACTGATGCCTCCAGTACAGATTTGGGCAAGGCAGTAATCGGGATAGCATCTTTAAAAGCTCTCCCTGGTGCACTTTAGGTTGAGGTTAGTTAAGGTTGCTGGGGCATTGCCGTCTTTGTCCCCGTTAAACATATTACATCCCAGGAAGCACATTCCTCTCTCGCTCCTCTCTGATCCAGACCCAGGCTGGTAAGATAGCAGGACGCACGGACGCTATCTTAATTTGAACAATATTAATTCCTGTCTGTCTGTCTGTCACATGCTTTAAAGTTATGACTGCAGAGAGTTACAGCGATATATTTGGCTAGTTTGCTTCAACAGAATGTCTTGGAAAAGAGGTTTGACTGGCAACATGAGTGAATGATTTATGAATAAGTGTGTGGGGCCTGGTTTGGTCTTGGAACCAATGAGAATTGTTCCAAGACTAAACACAGCGTGAAGATACTGGTTATTTTTTTTGGGGGGGAAACCTGAATGGTCTGTGCTTGTGCTGTCTGAATGTGTGTTGTAGTGGTCATGTACTCTGTGCTGTATACCATCGCAGTATTGACTTCAGAGAGGCCCATCTACTGTATGTGGGCTGCATGTTTCTACTCTCTTCACAGGAGCTATTGTTGTTCACCTGTGAGTGTATGTGTGAGTGTGTGTGTCTGCGTGTGTGTGTCAGCACTGTACGTTGGGGTTCTGTGGTCCTCACCTGTCCCTCTCGCTGTCCTGTCTTGTGTGTGTGTGTGTGTGTGTGTGTGTGATGTGCGTGTGTGTGTGTGTGTGATATGTGTGTGTGTGTGGCTCCCACAGGAGATTTGGATGGCCACTGGTTGGACCATGCGTCATGGCATAGCAGCGAGGCCTCCCCAATGTCTTTGGTGAGACATGCGGAGCCCCTAACCCCCCCCCCCCCCTTCCTTCCCCCCTCTGAGTCCTTTGTCATTTCATGTTTTTGTTTTATTTACACCTCCGCATGTGTTTTCTTCTTTCTTTCTGTTTTTTATCCCACACCTGTAGGGGACAGTCAAAGGGGAAAAAGAAAAACTATTGAGCAGGCATTTTTGTCCGACTCAACACACAACACCTTAACTGAGAGGCAAAAGAAAATTGTGCGCTTTGGGGGCCACTCATTGGAAGAGGACGCAGAATGGTGCGAACCCCAGGTTAAAGACTCTGGCGTTGATACGTGCAGTAGCACTACCCTAAACGAGGAGAATCAGCATAGCTATAGTGAGAAGGTACTGGAGACTATGTAGCCAAACTATCTGCATTTTCTTCTTTATTTTTTATTTTATTTTCTTTAACTACCTCCTCCGGTCTTTGTTTGCTATCTGTCTCTAATAGTAGACATGTTTATTTGGTTTAATTTGAATTGATTGATTTTCCTTTGAGCTTCGGTTGTATTATTATTCCGGGGAATTGATTTGATTGATTTAATTTCGACAGCACCTTGCTGGGTGTTGCCGAAATAGGAGATGGGGAAACCCTCTTTCTTGCTCTGCTGTTTGCTCTCTGGCAACATAAAGATTAATCCAGGAGCATTAAAACACAACTCTCTTTTTGTCATGGCACACAGGAATGTCCACTCCTCTAGTTGCATGTTGTTAGTTGCTCTTAGTCTGTTGTGTTATTGTTACTGTAGCGGCCATCTTAGTAACGTTACAGTAGGGTAACGACACCTACCTCTCACAGACACAGGCCTCCAGTCCCTCACTGGAATGACCCCTCCTCTCCCAACGTACACTACCTAGTCAAGTCATTATCTCCCCTAGATCTCCACTCAGTCCAATACCAAAACTAAACCAAGCACTTATAACTTATAACAGGGACGATTAGATTTGTTTTACACAAGTTACGTTTTTCTTTTTTCCCTTCTACTGTCATGTTTGTTGTGATTTCATCTTTTTCGTCTTGGCCTTAATCATCCCTCTGTGCTGTTCTTTTGGGAGTTTTCATCCATAAATCCTACTTTGTTTTTTTCCATAATGAATTGTGTCTAACTGTTCCATTGTGAAGGTGTAGTGCTGTGTTTAGCAGAGCAGGGCAGAGAGTGGTGGAGTGCAGCCCTGCCTTCAGCTAAGGCCTCCCTCACAGACCATCAGACAAAATCTACACTCATCCCAACTCAACTGGATTTGATGCCAATGTGGCTGAGTTGAATTGAGATGTTCTGGATTCTACCTCCCGAGTGGTGCAGTGGTCTAAGGCACTGCATCGCAGTGCTAGCTGTGCCACTAGAGATCCTGGTTTCGAATCCAGACTCTGTTGTAGCCGGCTGCGACCGGGAGACCCATGGGGCGGCGCACAATTCGTCCAGGGTAGGGTAGGGGAGGGAATGGCCAGCAGGGATGTAGCTCTGTTGGTAGAGCATGGTGTTTGCAATGCCAGGGTTGTGGGTTCGATTCCCACAGGGGGCCAGTATGAAAAATCAAAAAATAATGTATGCACTAACTGTAAGTCGCTCTGGATAAGAGCGTCTGCAAAAATGTAAAAATTCAGTGCAGATTTTCTCTGATGTTTTGTGTGGAACTTCTGCTTTGCTCTGTGGTGACTAGGAGGGCGGGATGGTTTGCCTGTTTTACCCTGTATGGGGTGCTGAATGCACTTTACCTCTACCCTGTTCGCAGGATCACACAAGCCCTGCCATTGGATGTGCAACATTTTTCATTTTAATTGAATAACACTTTTATACATTTAGCATAACATAACATACCAAGAAAAATGTGTATTGAATATTTTTAGTGAAAATAGTACCAAAAATCAGATTGAAGTACTTCCATGAAATATCTTTATGGACATAGCTAGTCAAAATGTGGGCTGTGTTATTGTGAATATAGTTTTATTTTGCCATTGATATAACATTTGCCTTCAACTACAGTACGTATAACTGTGATGCAGCAGATACAATTATTTTGTCGATTTTGATGAATTATGTATTTTATTATCTAATTGTGACAATCCGGCTAATCCCAAAAGAAAATACAGGTTCTATAATCTGAAATAGAAAGGATAGAGACAGAGCTATAATCACCAGATTAGATAACTAACCAGAGCTTGTATGATCTTTCATTAAATCAAATTAATTGAACACCCCCCCCCCCCCCCCCCCCCCCCCTCACCCCACCTCCTCACATGATACCCACTTTTCTGTAGTAGTCTTTTTAAAGTGTTGAAGTGATTGAAGTGAATCTGGTGTGGATGAGTTGTAAAACACAAGGTGTGTTGTTGCTGTGTGTGCTCCTGTAGCATCCGGTGACATGGCAGCCCTCCAAAGATGGGGACCGCCTAATAGGGCGGATTCTGCTCAACAAGCGGATGAAGGATGGAAGTGTACCTCGAGACTCAGGAGCACTGCTGGGGCTGAAGGTGAGTCCGTCTGTCCGGCCCACTAGGATTGACCCGTCTGTCTGACCTCTCTGTCTGGACTTCTGTCTATCTACTGGGACCAGTCTGACCTGATGGTCAGAGGCTGTTTATTATTACAGTTGTCCATCACTATTTAAAGGTTGCTTCCCAAATGGAATAGGTTGGCGTTTGGGCCTCACTAAAGAGTATACCCAGCGGACATAATTTGGCAAATTATGTCTTATTGACATAATTTTCTGGTTGTAAACTGGTTTTGTGGTTGAGGAAAAAGACGTTGCTATAAAGAACTTAACAAAACGTCCTTATGCAACATCCAGTACAACCTGATCATGACATCATAATGGAGTCATTACCAGCAGTTTTTCCCGTTGGGTATTCATGCTCAAAAGGCCCATACTGAAGATGATCTAAACATTTTTGAATGATATTTCTGAATGGTATATGATGAGTGGACACTACACCTTTGTATCAGAACAAAATAATAACGATCAAATTCTTCACCACAATAAGCATTGTAAAAACTATGTTGTGGCTATTTTTTATCTGTGTATACATTTTGAAGTGATATGTGTGGCTTAATTACATCATTGTATTATTCATGATTTAATATTCATTAGGCGGCTAATTATTTTCCTGATTAATACTAATGAGCTGTGTCTTGATATCAAATACTTTATGTTCATGCCTGTGTTCCAAATGGCACCCTATTCCCTATACAGTGTACTTATTTTTACCAGAGCCCTGGTCAAAAATAGTGCACTATATGGGGAATAGGGGGCCATTTGGGATACACATGCTCACATTGAACCGTTTTAATGAACGACATTCGTTGGCACAAACACATCTCTCCAAAACTCTCTCTGCATCCCAAACTGCAACCTATTCCCTATATAGTGCGCTACTTTTAACCAGGGACCTGGTCAAAAGTAGTGCACCAAATAGGGAATAGGGTGCGATTTGGGATGCTGTCTCTAAACTACCAGATGCTGTGAGAGCGTACTATACACTATGGTTATGTAGAAAAGCCTATTTCAAATGCTCAGTCAGAGACAATTCCCTTTACTGTAGGTAGAGAGATCAAATCTGAAACATTATGTACAGTACTGTAAGTAGGCTACTAAACATATGCCTCATATTTACAGTATATAATGATTAGACGGTTAGATTCTGTGATGAAAAGTAGCTTGGGTTTTCCTTACTCTCCCTAATGCGTTCAATTGAACGATCTGTGCGGCCTGAGCAGCGTGGGCTGGTAAGAAAGCTGAGCACACACAGCTAGCCAAAGCACAATGAGAGCTAGCACAGTGAGGGCCGTCAGAGAAAAGGAGAGTGGCAAGATCCGAAAATCATTACTGATTGAATGAGCTTCCTGAATTGGTATGTTTGTGTCTGGTCAGTGCCTCTTTGTGCTGTACGGTACGCTATGTGTTTTTCCTCGCTCAGCAGCAAGCAGTGACCAGCCAGTCTGTTTGTCTCTCTCTCTCTCTCTCTCTCTCTCTCTCTCTCTCTCTCTCTCTCTCTCTCTCTCTCTCTCTCTCTCAGTCCCTTTCCTCTTCTCCCACTCTCCCGCCCGGCTGTTACATAAAGCCATTTCATTTAGGAGACTTCCCTAAGCTCCTTTGTATGTTGGCATTCAACTGTCATTAAGAGGGGATTTTATTTGTCTGATGCCTGTGGAGGGAGAGTGGTTCAGGGGCTTACAGAGTAGAGCAGAGCTGGGCTACCTGGCCTGCTATAGACCCCCCAGGCCTCAAGTGTTCCAGCACAATGGAGAGAGAGCACCAGACAGAGAGAGCACCAGACATAGAGAGCACCAGACAGAGAGAGCTGGCCCCAGGGCTCCAACACAACACAACACACAGGGACATTCAACATTATGAAAAGAGATGTACATTTTCACTAAACATGTAGCTACTTTCTCTATTCTCTATTCAAGAATAGCACCCTACGGGCAGAATGACGCTATGTGGCTACATATGCAATTAGAATTAGCTCTAGATCTGCAGGTTGCAATTTTCAAACATGGTAAATAAATATGTTTCTGTGAAACAAAGTGATCAGTGCATCCATATTCCTTCCCTGCCAGACCGCTTACACTATATTGAGGGTGTGATTATGTTACAGTATAATACTATATACTAACACTACATGTTGATGTGTGTCACCTTCACAGGTGGTGGGTGGAAAGATGACAGAATCTGGTAGACTTTGTGCTTTTATCACTAAAGTGAGGAAAGGAAGTCTAGCCGACACTGTTGGACACCTCAGACCAGGTACCTACTGACCTCATTTTATACTCTAACTACGTCCCTTACCATGTTTAGAACTACACTTATAGATACAATATTTTTTCAAGCACGCTGAAGATTGTCAATACATTTCTCATGTACACAGCACTGTAGATTTAATAAACAACTTCAGTGATTCAAGAATCATTTTGATTACTTGGTGAGCTGGTGTTGAACTGGGTCAGAACCTTGTTTTAACTTCTGATACCCTTTGACCTTCATTTAATAGCACTATTAATTACAATAATATCATTTGTTTTTTAATTACAACATGTATGAACTGGACAGATGTTATTTGTTACCATAAGGGTGGCGACCGAGGCCTGTTCAATGATTTATAATATTACCTTAGCAGGAAGATAACAATGATGTACTGTTTGTTTATGTGTGCCGTGTTTTCTACAATACCATTCATATTCTCATTTTTTTTCCATAATGTGGGCCTGCTCATGTTTATAACTACACCTGTCATGTTTTTAACTACATTTATAACTATGCTTCCCATGTTCAGAGCTGCACCGTGCCAGCTGACGTCTTGGTGTGTGGATGACTGACTGCATCTCTTGTTTTACAGGCGACCAGGTGCTGGAGTGGAACGGGAGGTTTTTACAAGGAGCCACATTTAAAGAAGTTTACAATATCATTCTAGAATCAAAGCCAGAACCCCAGGTGGAACTGGTGGTCTCAAGGCCCATAGGGTAAGACCTCACAACAACAACCACACGTATTACTACTGAACCAATAAAAACTGGAGTGTATTCTCATTCATACACTTGTAGAAATATGTGTCTTGCATATGTGTCTTGCAGAGGAGAGAGAGGATGTGAGAAATGGAAAAAAGGGAGCTGAGTGTATTTGAATTTAATTTGTTTTGCACCAGCTTGTTTATTTAACATCTCTGCCTCCCAACCATCCCCCCTTCCTCCCTCCCAATATCCCTCCCCTCCATCAGTCCTCCAGTGTGATGGCAGTCAGAGGCTCATATGGGACTAGCAGTGCGGCACAGTGAAATGAACAGTGGCTGCCGCCTCTCTCTCTCTGTCTCACTACCCACTCTCCCCCTCTCCTCCACAAACAGCGGGATGCCAATCGTTTTTGAAAGTAGAGATACCCAGAGAAATCAGAAACCCCTTTGCTTTGTCAGTGTCTATATTTGACCTGCTTTGTGTTGCTGAGGGAGGGAGCTGCTGTACGGGAAAATGAAGACTAATGCTCTGCTTAGAACTATTCAAATACAGTGCATTCAGCATTAGCACAAATTGATCCCCTCCTCCTTCCTCATCCCTCTCTCTCTCTCTCTCTCTCTCTCTCTCTCTCTCTCTCTCTCTCTCTCTCTCTCTCTCTCTCTCTCTTTCTCTCTCTCTCTCTCTCTCTCCTTTCAGAGATATTCCTCGAATACCAGACAGCACACATGCACAACTGGAATCAAGTAAGTCTGGCTAGGCCTATCTTTCATTTCCCAATGATAGCTAATTAGCCTCTCTCTCCCTTCCTCTCTTCCTCTTCTTGAAGTATGTTACCAAAACCACATAATCTTCATAGACAGACAGTGTTTCAGATTTAATCATGTGACCTCCCCACTGTCTGTCCTGTCTCAGGTTCGAGTTCCTTTGAGTCTCAGAAGATGGATCGCCCCTCCATCTCTGTCACGTCTCCCATGAGTCCCGGGATGCTGCGGGACGCCCCACAGTACCTGTCAGGACAGCTCTCAGTGAGTACCCTACTACAATACCCACAATACACCCTGGCTCTGTCTGGGCCTACATTACCTGCAGGAAAGGATCATACAGTGTAGCTTCACACAGAGGGTTTGAGAACAAAGGCTTTCTTTCTCTCTTTCTCTGCAGTATTCAGGGAGAGTAGCTGGAGCTCTGAGAGTAGCTGGAGCTCTGAGAGTAGCTGGAGCTGTGGGAGTAGCTGGAGATCTGAGAGTAGCTGGAGCTGAGAGTAGCTGGAGCTGTGGGAGTAGCTGGAGCTCTGAGAGTAGCTGGAGCTGTGGGAGTAGCTGGAGATCTGAGAGTAGCTGGAGCTCTGAGAGTAGCTGGAGCTGTGGGAGTAGCTGGAGCTCTGAGAGTAGCTGGAGCTCTGAGAGTAGCTGGAGCTCTGAGAGTAGCTGGAGCTGTGGGAGTAGCTGGAGCTCTGAGAGTAGCTGGAGCTCTGAGAGTAGCTGGAGCTCTGAGAGTAGCTGGAGCTGTGGGAGTAGCTGGAGCTCTGAGAGTAGCCAGAGTTCTGGAGAGTAGCTGGAGCTCTGGAGAGTAGCTGGAGCTCTGGAGAGTAGCTGGAGCTTTGGAGAGTAGCTGGAGATCTGAGAGTAGCTGGATCTCTGTAGCGTAGCTGGAGCTCTGGAGAGTAGCTGGAGCTTTGAGAGTAGCTGGAGCTCTGAGAGTTTGGTTCAGTTAGACCCATCCCAACCCAACATAGGACCATACATCATGTTACCCTGAACCATGTTGCTTATTATCTGATGCCTAATATACTCTTGGGGGAGGTGAGTAAAAGGCTTGTCAGTTGAGATAAACATGGGAGGAATGAACTCTGAAACTCAGGAGGCCAGACGGAAATAGACTAGTGCTAACCTCCAACACCTCTTTTGTTGTCTCAACACTCAGGATATTTCGTTTCTTGGAGAAAATATAAAGATAGTTATGAAATTGTCACAGCTTTTCAATCCCTTCCCTTATGAAAACACATCCATATTATATGTTATTACAAATAAAAAGATATCAATTAAATATATCAAGCTATCAAAAAATATATCAGTCTATCAAGAAAGTCCATAGTGTATTTGTTTATCAGAAGACATGAGAATGTTTGATAGTTGACTGTGTGTCGGTAAACACTGTAAGCCTTGTACTGTAATGTTGCTCTCCAGTAAAACTGCTCCTAGAGCCAGAGAAGGAAGGAAGAGAAGGAAGGAAGAGAAGGAAGCTTTTGATGTCAGTGTTCTTTCTGCTTGTTGTTGTTTTCTTTGGTGAGGAGGGGGAGATCTAATCTGTGCTGCTGCTAGCGTCTCCGCCTGGCTCCTCTCCTCTCCTCTCCTGTCTGTATGTAACAGGAGCATGGCAGAGCAGAGTGAGAGCCTGGGTGAGAAGGAGCGCAGAGAGAGGTGGCATGCACACACAGGCCCTCAAGTATTCATAGGCCTACACCCAGGAGGCCCGTGCTGACAGTTATGACGCAAATAGAACCCAGTCAGCCAATCAGGCTGCAGCTCTGATCTCTGCAATCCCTACCTGTAGCACACAGACACACAGCACTCAGATCCAGAAGTTCTCTTCATTTCATCAATGAGCTGACCTTGAAACCAAAACAGGAGTATTTGAATCGTACTGTAGTTAATATACTGTAGTTATACTGTAATTAATATACTGTAATTAATATACTGTAGTTATACTGTAATTAATATACTGTAATTAATATACTGTAGTTATACTGTAATTAATATACTGTAGTTGATATACTGTAGTATATTACCTTGCTGGATCAAGTGCCAGCTGAATAATACATTGGATGCAGTTAGAAATTGTATTGTGTTTATTATTATTATTTATATTCATATTCATATTATTCTCAAACTGTGTTGAGGGAACAATTGGAATTGAATACGTCATCGTGACGCAAATGTTAAATGAAGAAAGGAAGGAAAGTTACAGTCCAGAGAGCAAGGAAGGGAATGCTTAGTTAGAAGTCATCAATCATTTTCTGTGAAAACGGGAGCGGAGCAGCCTGAGGATTACAGTGTGGAGGTACAGGAACCCACAGATAAGGCTCCAAGACAATACAACACATTAGTGAATAATGAGATGCAGATTGATGCTAATGAACGGTGGGGAAAAACACACACAGCTAGATTGACTCTCCATCCCCTCCTCCTCAAAATGTGTTTGTGTTATTGTGGCACTGGTTAGAGTCCAGTGAGTGTGTTTTGTTGGTTGTTTTATGTTTTTTTGGTTTTATTGCATTTTTCTTTGTTGTTGTTTAATTTTGCTTACCCAGAGCCAAAGCCTTAGTAGAAGAACAGCGCCTTTTGTCCCTAGGGTCCAGGTAAACACCTGTCTGACTCACAGACTCACTCTCTTTGGTCTTCGCTCGCCTTTTTCTTTTGCCTTTTTGGTTTCTTCCATCTTGGAAAATGCATACCAGGGAAATGGCAGCATCTTTCCCTTGCAGTGCGGTGCATTCTATCATCATCATTATTATTATTATTATTATTATTATTATTCATTGATACCATATAACATGATCATACCGTTATGCCAGGAGTCTCGACTCTTTGCATGACTAACTAATCTAAAGGAAATATTTCAGAGAGACACTCTTCCGTTGCCAGATCCTGTAGCCTACGCTCAACAGCAACAACAAGCTCAAACACATTGCTCAACATGTTAGCTGACATGGGACTTTTATACCTAGTCAGCTGCAACAGTGCTCCACATTGGCAATTAAAGGAGGGTGTCTCCTTAAATGTTTTAGAAAAACTATTACATTTTGTGGGACAAATAAATGAGCTTATTTGTTCTGTGGAACATGAAACTAGACTGGACCCTCATCCTCATTGGCTTGACTCCCTCAGGTCCTGAATAGGTTGCTATAACAACAGCGGTCAACAACTGGTAATCATGAACACAACGTTTGCCAAATATTTATGTTGACATTTTTGAATGGCCGTAAATGTCATATTGCCCCGTGTAGCTCAGTTGGTAGTGCATGGCGTTTGCAACGCCAGGGTTGTGGGTTCGATTCCCACGGGGGGCCAGTATGAAAAATGTATGCACTCACTAACTGTAAGTCGCTCTGGATAAGAGCGTCTGCTAAATGATTAAAATGTAAATATTGCAGTTAAAAGTGGGCTAAGATAACTGTCCCTTATTTTAAAGCAGATTTAAAGTAATCTTTTACCATTTGAATTCACTTGAACCAAACATGCAAGGAGTCTCTATCTTTCTGTGGGACCTTTTTGAGGAGTTGTCATTATTCTGGCTAGCTTGTGAGAGTTGGAGTGTGGAGTACTCATGTTATTTGGGAAATCATATTTGTATATAGGTCCCATCATGTCCTTGTCAAGCATCAGCTTAGCTTAGAACAAAATATATATACTGTATACTGTATAGGAGTTTCTGGTATGATATGCACTGTTGGTTTCCTCGTTTAAAGGTAGGTGATGTATAGCCAACACCTCACACTATCTGTCAGATAAGGAGAGGGTGAGAATGGAAGTCTATAAATAGGTGTGTAGTGTACCCTTGGCTCAGCTCCTGGAGGTCGATCTATTAGCCTTCTGTAGAAGTAGTGTTATGCTCTACTTAACCAGGCCATGCAATAATGTCAATGTAAATGATGTAGCCGACTGTACAGGAAATATAAGCAGTGTAATGTATTACATCAGGGGTATCATTTCAATTTCAACTTTTCAAGGTGAATCTGTTGCTTAAGAGTTATACCATCATTCATATGGGGGGTACTGTAGTATGGTCAGAGCGGACTTCAATGTTGAGGAAGTCTTCCTAGTGCAAGCTGTTTGACCTGAAGGCCCCTACTGCCTATGTTGTTTGACAATATCAGATCTCCTGACTGATCTTGTATGTATTAAATGATTGCTGTTGCTTTTTGTTGCTGCATGTATAAAGAGATAACTGTGGTAGTCAATGCAATGATTTAAGACTCCTCCCGTCATTATCTACATAAGCAAGTATGGGCAAGAGCTTAGAAGGCTTGATTTTCCTCTAGTATTTCATTTATTTTCTTTAAACAAATATTTCGGTTATTTTTTAAAAACAAATATTTCCGTTGATTTTCTTTCTTTCATTTTTTACTTCTAAGTGTTCTCTGTTATGTCCATACTTCGCTCTGACAAGTGTGAAGTGTATTTGATGCCACTCATGACAGCATGATTGATTTATATGTATATTTTAGCTATACACTGAGTATCTGACACTGCATTGCAGGGCTCTACAGGGCGACCATTTTACTTGCATATACGCCAAATATTTTGCTCTGCGTCCTGGAATTGTAATTTAGGAGCACTAGTACGCCTACAAAAATTAAGGATTCTAGGTTTAATACCTCAAATATTTGTCATTGTGCTCCTAAATATCTTTGTGTGCGCCTATATTTTTCAACTTACGTGCACATGTGCTCCTTGTAAAAAGGGTCAGCGTAGAGGCCTGCATTGTATTGTATGTTTCCAAATACAATTTCACACCCAAAAGCAGTAAGTGTTCATTTCAAAGCATGTTAGTCTAATTCTCATGTTGTAATGGTTCAGATACCAAGAGCCAGGATACTGTAGATATTAATATAGATACACATACTGTATAATCCTTTCCACACAAACACACCTAGAAAATGTGGATAGAGCAGCCGCACGGTAAGATATAGGTCATGCTACATAGAGTACATATCTGCTTTGTGGACACTATTAAGCTAATTTATGCTCTCATTGTTCAACCTTTGCTACTCTCTTTTCTTGATATGATCATATCATCTCCTTATTTCCATATCTCAACAAACAAGAATGCTTTTAGTACCCCCCCCCCCCCATACCCCCCACCCCGCTAAGCATGTGACCTGCTAATGCCTAATAGGTAAACCAGGGGGGGCCAACCCTCCTCCAGGAGAGGTACTGGGTGTGCAGGCTTTTACTCCAGCCCTGCTCTAATATAACACAACTCAGTGATTCTACTAATCAGCTGCTCACCATGCAGGACCTTGATTAGCTGAATCAGGTGTGTTCGTTAGTTAGTATAGAGCAGGGCTGGTGCTAAACCCTGCACACCCAGTAGCTCTCCAAGTGGAGGGTAATGAGGTCACCCTGATATAGAGCCCCCCCCCTCCCCACTGGCAGCCCAGTGACCATGTGACCCTGTTCTGTCCCATCCATAGGTCAAACTGTGGTATGACAAAGTGGGCCATCAGCTAATAGTCACCATCCTGGGAGCCAAGGACCTGCCTTCTAGGGAAGATGGTCGCCCTAGGAACCCCTACGTCAAAATCTACTTCCTCCCTGACAGAAGGTAAGAGTAGAGACAGTAACTACGGGATGATCTAGCTAGCAGCATTTCACTTCATTCCATCCACAGCCATTGCTTAGTGGCTAGACCTATCCTCCAATATCCTAAAGTTGCCATTGGTTGATTGATACAGATATGGGCTCTCGCATAATAGTGGAATTTATGGTAAGAATGTCTGGCTTTATTTACTTATCATTTTTTATTTATGGTAATTGAATTTGGGGACATGTCACATTGCATTTAAACTGCTACCATCACAAAGATCATCATATGTTTTACTCTACATTTACCGACACCTTCACTGTGCTCAGAGAACCCCTTCTCAGACACATGGAAGTAATAATAGAAAGTTGAACAGGGCTCCAACATCACTCACTCCCTCACCAGCTCATCCCATTGTGCTGTGCTTTGCTGTGTCGTGTTGACCTGTTCGGGAGTCTTTTCTACCATGGTTGTAAATAAAAACAGTTTGAATTATTGTTCCTCCAGCGACAAAAGCAAGAGGAGAACAAAAACGGTAAAGAAATCCTTAGAGCCCAAATGGAACCAGACCTTTATGTATTCTCCTGTGCACCGGCGGGAGTTCCGTGAGCGCATGTTGGAGATCACGCTGTGGGACCAGGCCAGGGTCAGGGAGGAGGAAAGCGAGTTCCTGGGAGAGGTAAGCCCATCCATCTCTTTTTTTTTTCATAATAGTTTTCTATTGTTTTATGGACAGTGACAGTCAGAAGGTAGAGAAAAAGACATATGGTACAGAGGGAGACAGAGATAAGGGGCTGAGGCGATATTCATAACAGGAGTCGGCAACGCTACCACTTAACCAGACTCAGGCACTCATCCATCTCTGATATAATACCAAACATACCCATCCAGTCAGGATTTGGACAGTAACTCTGATAGCTCAACTAATCCAACCAATAGGGTCAAGCTCTTGATAAAACCCTACATTCCATAAGTAGGATGATAGGCTACTGGAGGTTGATGTCATCGACCCATCATACCTACTGTAACATCAGCACATACTCACTCTCTGTCCTCACTGCCAATAGGGTTGCAGAATTCTGGTAACTTTCCCAAAATACCCAGGTCTTCCAGAAATCCCGTTTGGAATATTCTGGGGATCAGGAGGAAATAAGCAGGAAATCCAGAATGTTAATAATAATAATAATATGCCATTTAGCAGACGCTTTTATCCAAAGCAACTTACAGTCATGCGTGCATACATTTTTTGTGTATGGGTGGTCCCGGGGATCGAACCCACTACCTTGGCGTTACAAGCGCCGTGCTCTACCAGCTGAGCTACAGAGGACCACATGTTCCAATCAGGATTTCTGGAAAACCTCATAAAAAATGTTTTATGTCGGGCCAGGCGTGTGGAGGTCTTGATCTGAGTCCAGTTATCAGTGGCTAGTGTGTTGAGGACTGTGAGTGTTTGTGTGTGTGTGTGCATGCATGTGTGTTTGTATGTGTGGTGTGTGTGTGACGTTGGTGTGTTTCTTCTTTAGATCCTGATAGAGCTGGAGACAGCCCTGCTGGATGATGAGCCTCACTGGTACAAGCTGCAGACCCACGACGTGTCCTCCATGCCCCTACCCCGCGCCTCGCCCAACCCCCAGCGCAGACAGCTCCACGGAGAGAGCCCCACGCGGAGGCTACCCATACAGAGTAGGTTACCCCTCCGCCCTCACATCCATAACCTGTATACTAGTTTATACTAGAACTGTGAAGGAAAGCTCCTGTCTGTTCGAGCCCCAAACCTCAGGATAGGGAATGAGACATGAGTGGCGAACCAACCGTCCATTTCGTAAGACATGCACTGTGAAAAGTGACAGAAAGTCAGATAATTTTGAAAAGCCAATATGGTGGCAGGCAGGTGCCCTGTTACCAACTGTCTTTGCCTGTCTGCCAAAGCCTGAAGGATTTATGAAGTATTTATTACTGTTAGTATGTTGATACGGTGTTGTCTGTTTTCTTATCCCTCTCAACTCAACCTGATACTTACAGAAAAAGGCCCGTATTCGTACAATTCAGGTAACGGCCCCCGCATGTTGTTCCATGCTGCTCTCGTCACTGAGCTCTCTCTCCACTCAGTGTTGCTGTTCACACGAAGACTCCTTCTCTCCCCTCTGCTTCAGTCCTATTGCACTGTTCTCTACCTCCAGTGTTCTCTCATGCCACTCCTCCATTAGCTATCTCACAATTCCCTTCGATCCTCGCTATGCTCCCTCTCCGCTCCACCTCAGTTCTTAGACAAGATGGCCACCTCATGGTCAGCCTCAGACCCGGCAGGTTTCTGTTTCCCAGTCCAGATCCTGGTGATTTAGCTATATCAAAGAGCTCTATCCACTCCTCTGTTTATCATTTGAATATGTTGACCACTTGTTTTCCCAGTGCAATGCATTGTCTCATCTCCCGCCCGATGCCAACATTTTCCCTTTGAAAAATATTATGATAATTATTCTGGTTTTTGTTCTTCTTCTCCTTGGCTTGTGTCTGTGTCTCTGTTGTCTGTTGGGTGTGAACTTGTATTTGCACTTGACTTGACATATTTCTAATGTATGTAACCGGCACATGTATTTCCAATGTTAAGGCTTGAGATTATTGACAGTGATAGCTGAGTTTTACAATTTTTACGGGGTGTTTGTGCGTGTTTGTGTGTGTGTGAGGTGAAAGAGCTGACCGCTCTAAAACAGGAGCATTAAAACAGTTTCTGCCCATCTGAGATGTGAGGGAGAGAGAGAGAGTGTGTGTGGTGTGAGAGAGAGAGAGAAGAGAGAGAGAGAGAGAGAGAGGAGAGAGTAGACTTCTCGAGAGCGAGGAGACATAGAGTCGCGCTGAGTGAGCATGCCCCGAGGCTCCGCGCTCTCGCATCGCTCGACGCGCCCCCTGCTAGCCTCTCTGTCTCGTCTCGACGCGAGATCGAATCCCCTCTATCCTCTCCTGCTCTAGACTATCGACCCTCTTTGAGTTTAGATTGATGCTCTAGAGCGCTGCCAGAATGCAGCTCTTGTCATTTCTGTAAAAGCCCAAGTGTCCAGTTGATTTAAGTTGACTGAACAGTGAAGAAGTCAGAAAAGCAGCCAAGTTTAGAGTGAGTGTGGGACGACTCGGAAAGAGGGATGAGGGAGGGAGGGAGTTGTTCTGAAGACGGTTGAGACGGTAGAATACCTCTCAGACTCGATCTTCAGATGTACATTGAATGATTGAAATGTCAGTTCAAAGCACCACCGTGAAAAACATGGAAGCTATTGCCAATTAGGCTAGATGGAGAGGACCACACAACATTGTTTACATCACATCCAACATCATGTCTCACACTATTATATGTTACAGTTGTTCTCTTTAAATTCTACTTTATATCACATTATAGCTAAAATAGGCAGCTCCCACGTTGGTGGGTAAAACCAGAAGAGGCAGACTTATATTTCTGGAGAGTATATGTAGGTCTTGGTTGACTCCTTGGTTGTAAAGTGTGGTCAGTAATGGTCAGTGTAAGAACGTGACTTTGAGATACAATATAATACTGTTAAATAGTGTTCTAAAAATAAATAGTGTTCTATTTCTGTGTCTGCGGCTTTCCCTGACTATGTCCAGGACTGGAGCATTGGTCTAGACCAACTGGACATCACTGGTGACAGCTAGGCCACAGAGCCATGGTCTGACCAGGGTAAGAGGACAGACCCTGCAGTAAACTAACCTCTATCCTTCTCTTCTCTTCTTTCTTCATCTCTCCTCCAGGATCTCAGAGAATCAGCGACAGTGAGATCTCTGACTATGACTGTGAAGATGGTGTTGGTGTTGTGTCAGGTAAGATACTACTGACAGAGTCACACATGAATAATAATCATAGTCGCTCACAGTATAATGTTGATGCAGCTAACGCAGGGGTAAACAGTATATGAACATACAGCTGTATGTATGTCTATGTACTGTAATGTATCATATTATGTTTTAGAAGAAGGTAGCTAGCTAAGATATTGCAGCAGCTCTATAAGGAGCAGTGAGTTTCTTTTCCTTCCCTCTGCACTACAGTAGCTAGCTGCTCTCCTGTACGCAGGCAGCAGGCGCCCACGCTAGTCGCAGCCTGACGCTGCTGCACTTCAAATGAGAGGCTGTTGCGAGAGAGAGAGAGAGAGAGAGAGAGAGAAGAGTCAGCGAGATAGAGAGAGAGAGAGAGAGTAGCGACTAGAGAGATCCGGAGTGATGAGAGAGATCATTAGCTGAGATAGAGGAGTAGGAGAGAGAGAGAAGAGAGGAGAGAGAGAGAAGAGAGCGAGAGTGTTTAGCGAGAGAGATTAGCGAGAAGATGTTTAGCGAGAGAGGATCTGCTGAGAGAGATTATATAGACTACTCTGATTGTTATCGAGATTGTTAGCGTTAGCGAGCGAGATAGAGTCTAGAGACGAGAGAAGAGAGAGAGCTGCGCTCCTAGAGAGAGAGAGAGAGAGAGAGTTACTGTAGCAGGCGAGGCAGAACCCAGACAGCTGTGTGTGTAATAGATGAGGAGGAAACCCTCCCACCTCTGTAACATTCTCATCAGTCCCCCTCTCTCACATCACAGCCTCCTCCCTCACTACGCCCACGATGTCCCTTCACTCAGTGGGAATACCCCTCTCCTCTATCTTCTCTCTTTCTCTCTTTCTCTCTCCTCTCCTACCTCTCCCCTCTCGTTTCCCCTCGCTCTTTCTTCTCTCTCTCTCTCTCTCTCCTCACCCTATCTTCTCTTCCCTCCACCCTTGTTTCCCAGAGATTTTTATAATCCCCTTTCCTCCTATCTTCTCCATATCAAACTACTGATACTATACTAAGGGAGAAGAGATGATACATTTTCACAGGAATAAAATATTGATTGGTTTTGTCCTCTTGTCTCTTTTAGTAGTTTCTCTTCTCCCTGAATTGAGATGTCACTGCTGTGGTTTTAACTAAGTGAAGCTGTGATGCAGTCACTCTTCTCTGCTGGTTATGTCCTGTTAATTAAGATCTGAGGTTTTCTCCTCTATATATATATATGCTTAACACACAGTTTCTAGTCATGTGTGAAGCGGCTTGTCAAGAGAACCAATGAATTACATTTGGGTTGTGCACGCAAGGCAAGCTGATTGCAGAGCTGGGTATTTAGCTAACCCAGTGTTGGGCAGATGTTAGATAGTGAAATGTAATGATGTCAGGTGGAATTGGTTTAATGTTTCTCTATTGTTTCCACTATAGTAAATATGTATGCTGTAGTGTTATGCAGGACTTGATTGTGAATCATTTTAACATAATATTCATGCACATAATACTGTCCTTTTATGTTAACAGGGTTCCTTCTATGCATAATTTGAAGGAATTCAGGTTTCACAATGCAGCAAACTCACTTTCAAACATATTTCTAAGAGAAAATCAAATTATTTGGAGATAATTTATAAAAGTATAAAAGTATCAGACTAAAGTAGCTGTGAAGGTGAACTTTTCCTCTCATATTTCATAACGTCTTGTGTTTCCTTCCTAATCCTACCTTTGATTCACGGTTACGTTTAACTCATTTTAATGTGCTATACACTCTATTGAATATTAATCAACGTTAATAGTGCAAAGCGTTGACCTTAACCATGGCTCCTGGCCATGGATGATTATTGAATAATGAACTCATTCAAGTTCTATGGACTAATCAGTCTAGCAGGGAAAAGTCATTATAATGTTTCTGATTTTTGAAAGCTATTTTCATGTTTAATGCAAAAATGTTAACCGCAATGACTTGAATCACATGAACATCGATTTGAGACCAAGCCCTCATTTATTTGAATATAGAGAGCCTCAGCATTTTGAAAATTGAAAGCCATCAACCATTATGCCACTGTGTGCAACTTCTGAAAAGTTTGAAAGAATCCTCTGAAAATGAATGTTAAGAAACCTAAATAATTTTTGTTATGCTAGGTGAACTGCTAAACCATATTTTATTACCGTTGACAGTATGGTCGTTATTTGAAGCAGTGTGTATGGTCAATAGGGAGGAAAGGTTGTAGCCTGGTACCAGATCAGTTTGTGCTGCCTTGCCAACTAGACAAGACAGTACACACAGATCTGGGACCAGGTTAGAAAGGCTGTGCTCAGAACAATGAGTCTGTCTCTGAATGACTTCTGACATCTCTCGCTCTCTCTCTCTGTTTCTCTCTCTCTTTCTCTCTCTGTTTCTGTCTCTCTCTCTGTTTCTCTGTTTCTCTCCCTGTTTCTCTCTCTGTTTTTCTCTCTCTCTCTCGCTCTCTGTTTCTCTCTCTTTCGGTCTCTCTCTTTCTGTTTCTCTCTCTGTCTCTCTCTTTCCCCCTCTCTATCCAGACTACCGGCAGAACGGCAGGGACCTACATAGTTCCACGTTGTCTGTCCCCGAACAGGCGATGTCATCCAACCACTGCTCGCGGTCGGCAGATATGAACCGGGCGCGGTCGCGGTCTCCCAGCGTCCCCCCTCCACAGAGGTAACTCCCCCACCTCACTTATCCCCCATCTAGCCCAGCATCCCAAGTTGTATCCCTTACACAAAAACAAACAGTATGTGCCAAACTGCACCATACTGGGAACTGAGAACCACAACTGATATCAGAGGTTGTCCTTTAAGTGGTATCTCTGTGATAGTTGTCTTGATAGTAGAATGTTTAACCCAAATAACCGCACTGGGATCTCACTCACACTGACAGTGATAGCATTAAGGTGAGTAGGTGCATCCCCGAGCCACTAGGAGACACTGTGGGGAGTTTGTACTGTGACTGTACAGTACTAGGGGGGTGATCCAGTGATTCTGTTGTATACAGCAGAAGTCTGGACCCCGGCTATGACATTGACCCCGCGTCGTCTCAGTACAGCTCCTCCAGTAGAGTGGACCGGCGCAGTGTGTCCGATGACCACCACTCACCTGACAGGTAGATATACCTGTCTCACACAGCTTGACACAGCTTGACACAGCCTAACACAGCCCCACACAACCTCACACAGCCTCACACACCAGCTCCTGCAGACAACACAACCAACTGGGACTGACAGGGTTCCAACCCGGGATGTCTGCGAGCCACAAGGCTGTGTAACTGTTAGACCTCTGAGCTAAAGGCATTAGCTCTGGAGCTAACCCAAATGTTCAGGTCTCAGGCACGGTTACTAATCACATGAGCGTGGTTTCACTGAACTGCCTCTGTTACACAACCATACACCTGTTTAATCTGCCTGATGCTTTCACACCTAGAACTGCTATACGGATATCTCACAAGTGCTCACATGTCAACCTGTCCCTTTCCCTAAAACGTCCTATGAACTCAAATCTCCTCTCTGATGTCCTGCAATCGGTGGATCTTAAATTAACCTCTTCTCTTCTTTGTGTTCAAATCCTGTTGCCTTATTAATACTGAGCGGGGACCATTAACTCCGGTGCTCAGACTCATTAGAATCACAATGTGTGCATCCCAAATGGCACCCTATTCCCTATATAGTGGACTACTTTTGAACATGTTGTGTTAGTCGAATGTACGGGATACGCATGGTATACATGGTCCAACGAAATGCTTGCTTGCAGGTTCCTTCTGGACAATGCAACAACAATAAGAAATAAGGAAAGATAAGGACAGGGCTCTGGTCCAAAGTAGTGCGCTATGTAGGGAATAGGGTGCCATTTGGGACGCAACCCATACAACTACATTTTAAACACAGAACAATTGACTAGAGGTTATAGTAGATAATTATATATGGATAGATTATAGTCACCATATAACTAGAATGTAAATGCATGCCAATATACTGTAGATAGATTACAGTGACCATAGAACCAAACACATTCCAATCACCCTTTAATGAGTGTAGTAATAGAGTTTAATAGCAGCTGTTAATCTGTGAGAGGGAACTAAACTACAGTATAACACCACTGTCTCTTCTACTGTTCCTCTTCACTGGAGCCTTTTGCTGTACCCCATATGGCATCTTATTCCCTATAGAGTGTTCTACTTTTGTCACGTTCGTTGAAGGACAGGACAGACCAAGGCACAACGTGATATACGTACATGTTTATTAACGTAATAAACACTCGACAAAACAATAAACGAAACGAAACGTGAAGTCCAAGGTAGCACACACAACATAGGAACAAGATCCCACAACCCACTAGTGCCAATAGGCTGCCTAAGTATGATCCCCAATCAGAGACAACAAGCTACAGCTGCTTCTGATTGGGAACCACACCGGCCAACATAGATCTACACATAATAGATCGAAACAAAGAAAACACACAACAAAGAATATACACACCCTGACTCAACATTTAAGCGTCCCCTGAGTCAGGGCGTGACAGTACCCCCCCCCAAAGGTGCGGACTCCGACCGCACAACATAAACATAACAGGGTAGGGGCCGGGTGGGCATTCCGCCTCGGAGGCGGATCTGGCTCGGGGCGTGACGACCTCTCACTCTCCGCCTCCCTGTTGCGCCCCTGGTCTGGTCTGGACCTCGGCGCGCTGCTTCCCCTCTCCTTCCTCCCACGATACGCCAGGCCCTGTCTGGACCCTGGTGTGGGAGACCCCGAACCTGGAGAGGGGCTGACGTCATGGTCTGGACTGGAGCCGCTGACCGGAGCTGGACTGGGCACCGGTGGAGCGGACTGCTCTGGCTCCGGAGTGGAGCCGCTGACCGGAGCTGGACTGGACCCCGGTGGAGCGGACTGCTCTGGCTCCGGAGTGGCGCAGCTGACCTGAGCTGGATCAGGCACCGTTGGAGCGGACTGCTCTGGCTTCGGAGTGGAGCAGCTGACCGGAGCTGGATCAGGCACCGGTGGAGCGGACTGCTCTGGCTCCGGAGTGGAACAGCTGACCGGAGCTGGATCAGGCACCGGTGGAGCGGACTGCTCTGGCTCCGGAGTGGAGCAGCTGACCGGTGCCGGTCCAGGCACCGGTGGAACGGGCACGGACCGTGCCGGACTGGACAAACGCACCACTGGTCTGGTGAGAGGAGCAGGCACGGGCCGGACCTGACTAGGAACACGCACCACTGGCTTGGTGCGAGGGGCAGGAACGGGCCGGACTGGCGACGCGCACCACTGGCTTGGTGTGAGGAGCAGGCACGGGCCGGACCTGACTAGGAACACGCACCACTGGCTTGGTGCGAGGGGCAGGAACGGGCCGGGCCGGACTGGCGACGCGCACCACTGGCTTGGTGCGTGGAGCAGGAACAGGCCGGGCCGGGCTGGCGACGCGCACCACTGGCTTGGTGCGAGGAGCAGGAACAGGCCGGGCCGGGCTGGCGACGCGCACCACTGGCTTGGTGCGAGGAGCAGGAACAGGCCGGGCCGGGCTGGCGACGAGCACCACTGGCTTGGTGCGAGGAGCAGGAACAGGCCGGGCCGGGCTGGAGACGCGCACCACTGTCTTGGTGCGAGGAGCAGGAACAGGCCGGGCTGGCGACGCGCACCACTGGCTTGGTGTGAGGAGCAGGAACAGGCCGGGCCAGGCTGGCGACGCGCACCACTGGCTTGGTGCGAGGAGCAGGCACAGGCCGGGCCGGGCTGGCGACGCGCACCACTGGCTTGGTGCGAGGAGCAGGAACAGGCCGGGCCGGGCTGGCGACGCGCACCACTGGCTTGGTGCGAGGAGCAGGAACAGGCCGGACCGGACTGTGAAGGCGGACTGGAGGTCTGGAGCGGAGAGCTGGCACAACCCGTCCTGGCTGGCTGCCCACTTTCGCACTACATGTGCGGGGCGCTGGCACAGGACGCACTGGGCTGTGCACGCGCACTGGCGATACAGTTCGTAGAACTGGCGCAGGATATGCGGGACCGAGGAGGCGTACTGGAGACCAGGAGCATTGAGCCGGCACACCCCGTCCTGGCTGGATGCCCATCTTCGCACGGCACGTGCGTGGTGCAAGCACAGGACGTACAGGACTGTGCCGGCGCACTGGCGACACAGTACGTAGCTCCGCATAACACGGAGATTGCCCAGTCATACGCCTCTTCGCGTGAGTACGGGGAGTTGGCTCTGCTCTAACCCTAGGCTCCGCCAACTACCCCGTGTGCCCCCCCCAAAATTGTTTCTTGGGGCTGCTTCTCGGGCTTCCTCATTGACCGGCCTCCTCCGTGTTGCCGTTGCTCCTCTCCTGTCTGGGCATTTACCTTAGCCCATGGTCCTCTCCCCGCAAATATCTCTTCCCATGACCACAAATTGCCCACCTGTGACATGGCTACTCGCTCCGCCTGGGCACGCTGCTTGGTCCTCGTTTGGTGGGATCTTCTGTCACGTTCGTTGAAGGACGGGACAGACCAAGGCGCAGCGTGATATACGTACATGTTTATTAACGTAATAAACACTAGACAAAACAATAAACGAAACGAAACGTGAAGTCCAAGGTAGCACACACAACATACCTTACAAGGAACAAGATCCCACAACCCACTAGTGCCAATAGGCTGCGTAAGCATGATCCCCAATCAGAGACAACGAGCTACAGCTGCCTCTGATTGGGAACCACACCGGCCAACATAGATCTACACATAATAGATCGAAAACATAGAAAACACACAACAAAGAATATACACACCCTGACTCAACATTTAAGCGTCCCCTGAGTCAGGGCTTGACAACTTTTCACCAGAGCCCTATGATTCTTGGTCAAAAGTAGTGCACTATGTAGGGAATATTGTGCCATTTGTGACACATCCTGTGTTTGCCTGGGGCCATGTGGTGTTATGATGTTCCTTCCTCCACCACGCCTGAGACTATAGTAATAGAATCTCTAGAATGGACAACCCCACTCAAGTCATTACCCATCAGTGTACTGTCAAATTGCTGTGGTCTGAGGGGCCTTTCCCATTCTAGTCATACTGTTTCTATGGCAGTGCCAGACAGGTCCCGCTACAGCACCAACACCAGCCCAGCGTCTCAGACATACAGCTCAGCCTTGGCACAGTTCTCTTCTCCTTACTTACTTACCTCCTCCCATCGTCCAATTAAGTTGATTTGATATTTCTGAGGCGAGGATGGTTGAGGCAGTCTAAATCAGGGCCAGACACAGGAAATGCACTTATCTAGATTGTGTGTGACAGACAGTTGCTCACTAAGACTGTATTTCAGCTTCTCCTTAATCAACTACTGCTGTTATTTATTGAAAACAGTCGAAAATTAGGAAACAGGAAATGAGTCATATGTGTACCAAATTGCACCCTATTCCCTATAAAGTGCACTACTTTTGACTATAGCCCTATGGGACTGGTCAAAAGTAGTGCACTGTAAAGGGAATAGGGTGCCATTTGGGATGCATTCATAGATCATTTGGAAATGACCCAGTCTACCTCTAAATAATAATAATACTTTCTTACATCATTATTTTTGGGAATTTACATTTTTGAGAGGTTGTTTATATTGTGTTATTTTGTTTTGAAATCCAACAACATATGGATGTACTTTATTTTGTTTTTCAGTTTATGTTGTAAAGTTGATGTACAGACATTTGGACAGTTAGGGGGCCATTCCTGAATTGGATTGTGAATCCCATACAGTAACACCAACAACGTTCAGTATCTTACAAGGTTTGGTTTGAATCCACTGTGCAGCATGTGTGTTACAGTACGAACAGTAAGTTAGGAGCGCCTCATCATGCATCGCAATGGGTTTTCTAACCTGAGGAAGGACTGCACCAACATCCTCTCCTTCTCTCCTCCAACACTGTACCGCCAACCCCCCCCCCCCCCCCCTCTCTCTCTCTCTCTCGCTGTGTCTCTCTCATGCTATCTCTCTCCCCGTGTCTCTGTATCGCTATCTCTCTCTCTCCTGTGTCTCTCTCTCGCTATCTCTCTCTCTCTCTCTCTCTCTCCCTGTCTCTCTCTCTCTCTCTCCCTCTCTCTCTCTCTCTCTCCCTGTGTCTCTCTCTCGCTATCTCTCTCTCTCTCTCCCTGTGTCTCTCTCTCACTATCTCTCTCTCTTTCCCAGTGTCTCTCTCCCGCTAACGCTCTCTCTCTCCCTGTGTCTCTCTCTCGCTCTCTCTCTCTCTCTCCCTGTGTCTTTCTCTCACTATCTCTCTCTCTCTCCCTGTGTCTCTTCTCTCTCTTTCTCCCTCTCCTCCCTCCCCATTCAGCCCCATCCAACCATGTCTCTGTTCTCTCCCTTCATGTCTCGCAGCCATTTTCTCACCCTACCTCGATCCAGACGCTGTCAACCTAGTGATGATCATCAGAAGGAATCCAGGTAGACCCTTACCTGACAGTGCATGTTCCTCCCTCCCTCCCACCCTCCACTCCGTCCCCTGTCTGTCTGTAGGAAGCTGCTGGCCTATCAAGCTTCAAGCCTGTGTTGGTTTAATGGCAATGGCACACAAACCTATTCACTTCACATCCCAAGCCAATGCCATTGACGACACAACGTGTGGTGTGGTGTGGGCAGCCAGGTATATATTTCTCCCTTCCAGGACAAATATACTGTATATGCATCAGTGTAGTGTGTGGCCTTTTGTAGAAAAAAAGGTGCTATCTAGAATCTAAAAGGGTTATTTTGCTGTCCCCGTAGTAGAACCCTTTGAATAACCCGATTAGGCTCCATGTAGAACCCTTTCCCCAGAGGATTCTATATGGAACCCAAAATAGTATTTGTTATCTTAGATTGTACCTTGAGATATACCTCAAAGAAACTAGCCTGTCAATACTGTGAAATTGATGTGTCCTGTGGTTTGTGAAGAGTTGTCCAGCAGAGGTAGTTACCCCTGCCCAGTGTCCACCCTGTGTTGTACCAGTGTATATGACGGTATATGAATCCTATATATCTGATATACAGTCCTTATGATGGCTACCCATCCACAGCGGTCAAGGTGGATGTTGTGTTTGGATCAAACCACAAGAGAATAGTAGAGGTACAGAGAGTTGGTGCGCCCCCATCAACTGTCCCCTTAACAGTCTACAGAGAGTTGGTGCGCCCCCATCAACTGTCCCCTTAACAGTCTACAGAGAGTTGGTGCGCCCCCATCAACTGTCCCCTTAACAGTCTACAGAGAGTTGGTGCGCCCTCATCAACTGTCCCCTTAACAGTCTACAGAGAGTTGGTGCGCTTCCATCAGTTGTCCCCAGGGTCATGTGAATACCAGGTTCCGTCCACAGGTTCATGACCTTCTCTCACTCTGTCCCACCTGACCAACCTGGTGTTAAGGTATTCTTAAAACACACATTGACTCCCTCTGACCGCTCTCTTTTCGCCAGCCGCAACCACCGCATATCCAACATCAGTCGAGAAGAGGCAGTCAGGTTACTGCGCTCCACTAGGATGTCCCGAGCCCACTCTGAGGGCGCGTACTCCTCCTCTGCTTCCTTCGACTATGACTACAAGAGGTATTCACATTACAGTGTCTCTACGTATATATCCACAGTCAGCCATTTTGTGGGTCTTTTTCTCTGTAGTCGTCTGTATGACATTAACATTTTTCTATGTGATTGTAAAAGGTGATGAACCCCCACGTGATATCCTGGGTGATATCTGGTTCTGGAGCATGTCATCACAGCTCTGCTCAAGTTGTGTACTAGACCCATAAACAACACAACTGCCTCCGATTACTGTGTAATATTGAGGCTGCTGCGAGCTATCGTGTCTCGACATCAGTTGTGACACGTATCGTACTCTGTTGATGTTTTGTTGTCATGCCTACTAGTCTACCATCAGTGGTTGTTTTGGTGATGACTGGTGTCCTGTTTGTATCTGGGTAAATAAAGGTTGGTAGCTCTGATGCTCAGCTCTGCAGGTAATATAAGGGCTGCATTGAACAAAAGGACACATGGCCTTTTGATGCTGCTGGTGGTAATGGGCTGTTTACCTTACCTTTATTAATGCATGGTTGTCTCTAACATTACCCCCACCATCTTGGATGGCCTGGATTATTATTAACAGTGGTTAACTGTATGTCTGCAGTTGGTATTTTATCTGGCCCTCTCTGTCCTCTTCAAACTATGTCGTTTTCATTCTGATGAAGGCCAATATGGCCGAAAAGGTCAATACCACTAGAATAAAGGATATTTTTATAATCTCAAGAACGAGAACTATGCCTAGCCATTCTCCTCATGCTGACTCTCAGAGGGTCTGTCTGTTTCTCTTCTGTTCTGGACCTGACTGACTTTCTCTATGCTAAGAGTGCTAAGTATGGGAAGCTCAGCCTTGCCCCATTCCCAGGCTGTGCCAGCACTATGATGGCCTAGGTTCAGGTTCAGGTTCCCCCAGGTGTGTGTGCCAGGCCCAATGTTGTGATGTGCCAGTTCAGCGGGCTGGGCCGAGCCGGGCACTCCCAAATGATGCCCTAGTCCTTATATAGTGCACTACTTTTGACCAGAGTCCTATGGGAACTGGTAAAATGTAGTGCACTAAATAGGGAATAGGTTGTCATTCGGAACGCAACATCACACTCTCAGCACCCCCCTGGAGTAATGCTGCAAATAGCTCCTCCTGGGTTCCCATCGCTGCCATCTGGCTGTCAGTCAAAAACGACACGCCGTGCATTTTCTCTCCAGCAGAAAAAAACGATGAGTCGTCAGAACTGAGGCAGCGCAACTGACTTTATTCAAGTGTCACAAAGTTTCCCTGAGCGAGGCCGCGGCCCAGATAGCTTCTCTCTCTCTCTCTCTCTCTCTCTGTCTGTCTGTAGATTGGCAGGGAGATGAATGGTTCTCACGTCCTATGGCAGTCACACAGTCACAGAGGAAAGGTGAGGAGAATAAATGTCCCTTCCGCTTCCATTCCAACTGTGTGTCTTCTCTTTCTGCTATATTCAGACAGATTAGGAGAGAGAGAGACAGAGACAGAGGGAGAGGGAGAGAGAGAGGGGAGAGAGAGAGACAGAGAGGGAGAGTCAGAGAGAGAGAGAGGAGTGGCTCAGAGCCCCGGGTGAGTCGCTGGGGCCCGTGAGGCCCCTGAGAATGGGCCCCTGCCAGCACAGTAGATCTAGACAGTGACCTTGGATAGAAGCCATGCTCCTCACACATGATTGGCTGTAGAACTAGAAAGCAAAGTATTTGTCTGTGTCCCAAATGGCATCATATTCCCTTTATAGTGGACTGCTTTTGACCAGGCCCAATAAGGTTGAGATGGCAAGTCTATATTGTGGGGGACTTCATATTGTAGCTACTTCAGTAGATGTATAGTTTTAGTAGGAGTAGTGCAGTGGTAAGCAACGTAATAACAGTGTAGATGTTACATAGATGCATATATGTTACAGTAGCACTGGTGCTGTTGTAGATCTAACTAGAGTTTTAATGTTTCTACTGTGCAACAAAGGTGTGCAAAATATTATCAGAGTATATACTAACCACGCCAGACTTGGGCTGTTTGAGTTAATATTTAGACTGGGTTGAAATCCCAAGGGAATATTCTGAACGGTAGAGAGAGAGAGAGCAGAGCTATGGTTCTATGGTGTACTACAGTATCCATCACAACACACCTCTAGTAACTAACAAGTTGTTTGATTCTGACATCTCCTTTACTGTTCAAAGCCATCAATCCCTGGACGTAACGACCTGAGGATCGTAGACCACTAATGATTATGATGATGGTCACCATCGTTAAAGTCTCAGGCAACGTAAGGTCATTCACTGGCTGATGAAGTGGCTGTGTTGCGATTGGCTGGTGTAGAACAGGAGTGACCCGAACGCTGTGTTGCGATTAGCTGCTTTACAACAGGAAGCAGGAAGCATAGCCTCTGCTGGACAACTTTCCACTCAATTAACATTCACTATTTTAATGTGCTGCCACCGTGTTCTCAGTGTTTTGTGTTTTTGACTTTGCAAATGCTGCTCATGTCAGATGATAATCCACATCTGGTCAAAATAAGGTATTTTTCTTGATGAGCATTTGCAATGACAATGATATGTCTAACTGATGTGACCTGATCTTCAAGATATACACATGCTATTGAGAGGTAATAACACTTATTGCCTATGAAGATGCTTATGGAACAACACACAACAAAACAACAGAATATTCTTGTTTTTTATTGTACATAATGATACTGTGTACATGTGTATGCATGTGAAATGCATTTTATTCCATTTTATTTCCAAACTGCTCAAAGTGCCAAAAATATATTTTCTTGGTCTTTTTCCAACTGCATTTCAGTTACATTTTACAATGGCAGGGCGGCGACAGCTTCAGGCATGTACCGTGCAGGAGTATTGTAAGCTAGTAGGCTGAATGGAAACCAACCAACACATGCTATTCCACTATTCTCTCACATCTCATTCCAAAGGGCCTCCCACTCACTCACTCACTCAGTCACCTACCACAGATGAGGGACACATTGTCCCCTGCCTGTCCCTGTCCCTGTCCCTCCCTGTCTCACCACATACCACTGCTACGCCCTGTTCCTACTCTACTGTAGGTGCCAGCAGGTCCCTCTGGGGCCCAGCCCAGGGACCCAGGCCATGCAGCACTCTGCTGTATCATATCACCTGATCATCATCAGCAGCTCCACTGAGCCCCCTCCTTCCTTCCCTTCTCTCAATAACGTGTTGCAGGAACCACGGAGCCGTTGATAGGCATGAGTATCACAGCAGGTCCAGGTCAGCTGACCAGCGTCCCGCGCTAGAGCGCACCACCACCTCCCGCTCGCGGTCCACGGAGCGGCCCGACTCCGCCCTCATGAGGTCCATGCCGTCTTTACCCTCCGGACGCTCCGCCCCTCCCTCACCTGCCTTAACGAGGTGACCAGACAGACACGTCTACAGGAGGCTGGTGTCATTTTAAATCAGACGACGGGTTCATTGTAATGGCTGGAATGGAGTGAATGGGATGGAATCAAACACATGCGTTTGATGTGTTTCATACCTTTCCATTTCTGCCATTGCAGCCATTAAAATGAGCCCATCCTCCGATTTCTCCTCCCACCAGCCTCCACTGCATAGCTACTGCCCCACCAATCCAAAGAATAACCAACAACCACCACCCACCCCTCTCTCTGCCTGTCTCACTGCAACCAACCACCACCCACCCAGCATCCAATCAGCATCCAGCCAGCTCACCACTTTATCATTTACACCCCCCCACCCCTAAAGCAACGAATGGTGCTGCATTTCCTTCCCCATCCCAGACTGGTAGTAGACTAGATACTAACTCTTTTCGTTTTTGGAACACACTACTTATACAGTACTTTGACTGAGTATAGTAGTGCTGGACCACAATTGTGATTTTCTTTCTTTACTAACATGACCTATTATTATCCAGTAATTACATTCTTTATTCCAGTTTTTATTTTTATTTTTTAATTTTTTTGTAGACCATCAGATCGCATGGTCGCATTGGTCCACATTGAACGAACGCCCATGGGTGCTGTCCTCACTCTTTCCTTGCAGCTTGATGGGTCGAGTGAAACATGCGATTCATCACCTTGCAACTGATGCTACATTATCTCTAGCATGTCATGTGCCAAATGTAATTGTTTATGTGCTTTAGAGTTCACCGACTGAACAGGTTAAGGTACCAGTACACCTTTCGATACAAGCCATTTTCGGGCAATAACTTTTAGTCATTAGAAAATTAAGTGATAATTCAAGCTACAGTATTAAATGGATGCTTCTACATAGCCTGACTTCAAAACATATTCTCAGAAGCCCTTTTGAATACAGATTTGTTTAGCAGACACACATGCTCAACTGGCAGATGCTGTAAAAACATAATAAAAGTCTTATGGGACAAAGAATATCTGTTGAGAATACGTTCAATACGATAGATTTTTTAAAATACACTACAGAAAGTAAAAGGCATTTAGTTATTAACTTGATCAGTTAATTGATCAGGTAAGTGTCCAGCTTTCACCGATCCAACAACATGGCAGCATCCCTGGTTGAGCATGGACATGATTGTTCACAACATGTCCAGTATATATATGAACTGACATATATATGTGTTTGATACAATCTTTTTCCCATGTTTGGTTCATTAGCAACCCAAGTAGACAGTATTAGTTTGTTTGTGATGTGTTGATGTTTCTACAAGCAGCCTGAAACCATCCTATCCTCTTACATAACAAAGCAAAGCACGCTGGGAAATGTAGTCCTTCTGCTTGTCCGGGGCCTTCCAACCAATCACAGGTCAGCTCTGTGCATGACCTCTGATCCCTGACTCACCCAGACTGTACCACTTTATGTGTCGTCCCCCCCCCCCCCACCCCCCCCCCCCCCACTAGGGCTAACCCCCGCAGCGGATCGGCCCAAACCAGCCCCACCAGTACCCCGATGTCTGACAGGAGAGGAGGTCGGCAACTACCACAGCTTCCACCCACAGGGACCAAGGGCAGAAGTAAGTTCTCAGCTTATTTTCTATAATCAGCTCTGGGCCTCAGTGGCATCACTGTCACTCTGGTATCTTTGGTGTGGTTTGGTGACACCTCAAGGCTTTTCTCCATTGGTCACTATGGTCACTTACTTTGGAACAGGTTTGACTTTGATTTAAGCATTTCTTTGTCAGAAGCAATTGTTTCTTGTTATTTGCTGTTCTTTAGCTGGGTATGGCACCTTGAGATATGTGTTATTTTGTGCCATAAACCTCTGAGTGGGAAAAGGCTCATAGCAAGTTTAACAGATACTGCTGTCTGTTGGTTCACTCTGGTCAGTTGCTCATGAACGACAGAGCTTGGCTCAGAATCTCTCGACTCTACCAACATTGTTAAGCTGTGTCTTCTGTCTTAGTGAGTTTGTTGTGTGTTCTTATGGTCTCAGTACTCTGTATGTTATCAGTGTTAACCAGGGTGTCCTGTGGACGGTTTAAAACATGTATTGTAACCTTGGTCAGTCAGCGATATTGGTGATGTTGTCTCTTCATAAACATTTGATGTTTTTTATTTTAACATACACTACCGGTTAAAAGTTTTAGAACGCCTACTCATTCAAGGGTTTTTCTTTATTTTTACTATTTTCTACATCGTAGAATAATAGTGAAGACATTAAAACTATGAAATAACACATATGGAATCATGGAGTAACCAAAAAAGTGTTAAACAAATCAAAATATATGTTATATTTGAGATTCTTCAAATAGGCACCCTTTGACGCGGTGTGGTTGAACGGATGATCTCTGCATGTGCATTTCCCACCGTAAATGTGATGGTGTGGGGGTGCTTTGCTGGTGACACTGTCTGTGATTTATTTAGAATTTAAGGCCCACTTAACCAGCATGGCTACCCCAGCATTCTGCAGCGATACTTAGTGGGCTTAGTGGGACTATCATTTGTTTTTCAACAGGACAATGACCCAACATACCTCCAGGCTGTGTAAGGGCTATTTTACTAAGAAGGCGAATGATGGAGTGCTGCATCAGATGTCCTGGCCTCCACAATCCCCCGACCTCAACCAATTTGAGATTGTTTGGGATGAGTCGGACCGCATAGTGAAGGAAAAGCAGCCAACAAGTACTCAGCATATGAGGGAACTCCTTCAAGACTGTTGGAAAATAATTCCAGGTGAAGCTGGTTGAGAGAATGCCAAGAGTGTGCAAATCTGTCATCAATACAATGTAGAAAATAGTAAAAATAAAGAAAAACCCTTGAATGAGTAGGTGTTCTAAAACTTTTGAACGGTGCTCTATGTCGCAGCCTGTCTGTCCCTCACTCCCTGACTGTGTGACCTAGCAGTCCTGTGTCCTAGCCTAGCCTAGCCTAGCCTCCTCGTCTTCTTCTGGTTCCTAGACTGGGTCAGTGTTGTCATCTAGCATCGTAGCTTCCATGTGTTTCAGCTGTCATGAGTTCTACGGTAGTTTTGTGTTCTATGTTGAACAGTCGTCAGTTTCGTGTTATGACTTCAGAGTGCTCAGGTGAGATGTGTCCCTAGGGGTTGTGGTACAGTAGACTATTTGTGTTTTAAACGTGTTATTCCGTAACCAGTGTTGTTAGTAGTAGTAAAGTAATTTATCCAGAAACAACAGTACATGATTCAGGCTGGGAAGGCTATAATGTAGTGGCCTTAACTCTCTTTAGTACAAGAGGTATACTGAGCTACATGCAGAGAGTTAATCTAGAACCTCCTGTACTGTAAGACTCTCTCCTTAGTGAGGAATCAGAACTAGTACCTCCTGTATTGTAAGACTCTCTCCTTAATGAGGAATCAGAACTAATACCTCCTGGACTGTAAGACTCTCTCCTTAATGAGGAATCAGAACTAGTACCTCCTGTACTGTAAGACTCTCTCCTTAATGAGGAATCAGAACTTGTACCTCCTGTACTATAAGACTCTCTCCTTAATGAGGAATCAGAACTAGTACCTCCTGTACTGTAAGACTCTTTCCTTAATGAGGAATCAGAACTAGTACCTCCTGTACTATAAGACTCTCTCCTTAATGAGGAATCAGAACTAGTACCTCCTGTACTATAAGACTCTCTCCTTAATGAGGAATCAGAACTAGTACCTCCTGGACTGTAAGACTCTCTCCTTAATGAGGAATCAGAACTAGTACCTCCTGTACTGTAAGACTCTCCTTAAGGAGGAATTAGAACTAGTACAGACAGCGTGATCTGATTTCTCTTACTGAAGCTCTTCTGGGTCACAGACAGAATCCCATCTTAAACCGTTTGATTCATCAGCACAAATGTATTGTTCTCATTCGACCCTCAGTGCTAGTTTAACTCTCCCTAAAATGTTCTGACAGGTTGTAACAGAGCGTGTCACATGATGTAAGGGTGTGGTGATGGAAGGGAGGGGACGAGCCTGAGTTCTATGCATTGTGAATTGACGAATTAGCTGAGTGGTGATTGGAGGGAGCGGGACGGAGAGAAGGAGAAGGGAGCAGCAGAGAGAGATGGAGGGAGAGAGAGCAGAAGGAGAGAAAGAGAAGGGGGTGAGAGCAGAGCGAAAGAGAGAAAGCCTAGGCGGTGCTGAGAACTTGTCAGAGCACTCCCAGAACTCCTTCATCATTGTCAGAAACCATGAGCACTCCTCTCTCCTCCTAGTCTGCAGCCAGCCAGCCAGTCTCGCTCCTGCTCAGGATCTCCAAATTCCCAGCCCCTCCGCTCCTCCCTATCCCTTCCCCATATCTCTCTACCCCCTTCCCATCTCCCCCCTAGCCATCTCTCCTCTCTCTCCCCCCTTCCCCTCTCCCCCTCTATCCTCTGTCCCTCCTCTTTCCCTCTGTCCCTCTCTCCTCTCCCCCCTTCCCCTCTCCCCCTCTATCCTCTGTCCCTCCCCTCTTGTCCCATTTCCCTCTTTCCCCCTCTGTCCTTTCCACCTCTCTCCTCTTCCCTGTCTCTCCCCTTCCCCCTTCTTCCCCTCTATCCTCTGTCTCCTCCCCTCTTTCCCTCTTTACCTCGTTCCCTTCCTTCTCCCCTCTGTCTCTCTCTCCTCTCACCCCTTCCCGTTTCTCCCCTCTCCCCTCCCCCATCTCTCTCCCCTCTCTGTGATGGGGTAATGGCAGCGGGTGGGCAAATGGGGGAGGTAATCTAATGGTTTGATCCAACCCTGGGTTGACGCTCCCACAGAGCCCTACCAGTCCAGTATGACACAGCCAGGACTTATGTAATCATGGCACTAATGCTGCTGCTGGTACATGTGGTACTGATCCATAGAGGCCAGGGGACTGGGGGTTGGCTGGGCTGGGCTGGGCTGGCCTGACTGGGATTTAAATAGGAGGGTTGTTTAAAATGTTGAGGTAATAGAAATCAAGGCAGAACAGGGAATGTATATCCAGTCAGGTGTGTGTGATTGTACCTTTGTGTTTCCTACCTAGACAAAGGATCCATGTTGTTGTGCCATACTGGCTTCAGTTAGATTTGTATTGAACCTTTTTGTTTAACCAGGAAGTCCCATTGAGCTCGGCATACCTCTTTTACAAGGTAGACCTGGACCTAGATGTTGTGATATAGTATCTGTGGTAATCCCTGTTGATCCACCCTGCCATGCTTTTATTGTTCCTTTATGTGTACAGGAAGTCAACATTGAGACCTGAACTAGCTTAGAAGGCTTTAGCCACAAACCAGGTGATATCTAATCAGCCCCTGTTCCTTTTGTTATCTATCTGTCTCTCCTACGACCCCTGACCGCTCAGAAGGAACATGGGAGGAGCTAGAGCGGCCTACTGGTGACCTTTGCCCTCTAGAGCAGTACGAGGGGGAGCCAGGTGTGTTTATCACCTGTGTGTCTATCTACTGGTGTGTCTCAGAGCAGGCTGAGCCTTTGGACTTCCTCATTCACCTATATCACCTTTATGTATCTGCCTCTCTCCTGAGAACTCCACTCCAGATCTGGGTCCAATACATAATGTACTCAAATACTTAAGCTGCACTTTATTTAGTTGGCCTGATACCATAGAAACCAATGGAATAGTCCCAGAACACTGCAAACCCAAATTTGACCCTGCCTGGTCCACACAGCCTGTACTGGACTATGATGTTGTACCATCTTTATAAGCCCTACAGCCATTCTGCCCCTCAGCCAAAACCCTTAAAATGTGATCATTTGTTGAGTCAGTACTGTACTGGATGAATGTACTGGCTTGAATGAGAGTTTCCAGGGTTGTGTTGGCAGGAGCGGGAGTTTCCCACAGGTCTCTCTTCCTAGTTCCTTCTCACCCATCTGTCTGTTCATTCATTCAGTTAAGTCTTCTGTGTGATGGTAGTAGTATATCTTTGTCATGAAACATGCAGTATACCTCTTAGGTTTTCATATCTGCATGCGTTTGGTCTGTGTGTTGGTGTGTATGTGCTTGCATACGTGTGTTCTTACAAGTGTGCGGGCGTGCGAACACATGCACGTGTGTTTGTGTGTGGTCATGCGTGTGTGTAAGCGTATGCCTGCATCCGTGTTCCATGATCTCACAGTTCCATGATCTCATAAAGCTCCATCTGTGTCCCACTGCCGTTCAGACTGTGAGGAGAGGGCACGGCCAGGCCCTCCTGTGAATGGGAGGAAAGGCAAGTGCACTCAGGAGTATGCCATTGTGGTGGTGTGTCCTCAATAGTGCCCTCAGGGGTGTGTCAGTGCTGTGGGACTCTGCATGCCAGTTAGGGCTTCCATAGTTCATTTAGTCAACTTTCTTCCGTCTCTGTCTCTCTTTTATCCACATTTCATATTTTCTGAGATGAATGTGATTTATTAGATTTGGGTTGATTTGCAGTGTTTAACTAACTGGAGGAGTGCAGGTTGGGTGAGTGTGTGGTGATCTTCATCATTATGACGATGATGATGAGGGTGAGACTGATGCTAATATATCCAGAGTTTTGTCTCCCTGAGCTCATATAGTCGTGCGTGCCCCAGCCCCCTCACAACCACACACAACTAATCTTCTGCCCTTTAATTGAAGGGTTTGAGAATCAATGTTCAGCCCTCTATCCCCACGTCCCAACCACGCAATTCAATAGAACATTATTAGTTAAATATACTGTATAGCTCCATTGTAAAATCTACCGTTTGGAATTAAAGATCATTTCAATTAGACATGTAAGATTTCGTGCTTCAGTCAAAGCGGCACTTATTGAGATTGAAGTAAATCTAGTGGAGGAAAATGGATGCTGTGATTGCAGTTTGAAGAGTTTTAGTTGAACCAGTAACCTTAGACACAACATTCATACAGCTGGTTGTTGGTCGTTAGTAGATGTTGCAATTGAAATGCTAATTGTCATTCAACTCTCGATAACAGCTTGTAAAATATCATCCTTGATAATCGGCCAACAAAAGATGTACAGATCTGCTATCTTAATTTGATCACTCTGTTGTCACAGAGAATTTCCCTGCACAGCAGGAAATGCAAATTGTAGTCTATTCAAGGTTTAAAAAGGCTTCTAAAGTTTGTAATTTCCACTTTAAAATGCCAGACTTGATTTGCCCTGACAAATGTAACAACCCATACAAAAATGTCCATTAATTATAATCCTCTTAATAATTAACATTTCCTGTTGCTGCAGGATTATTTTCCTGCTGTGAGAAGCAGGGTCAAATTAAGATAGTCCATCAGTACATTTAGTTTGAAGTTGTTTGAAGATGCCTTTGATGTTCTATAGGTAGTTTAGCAGTGGGTTTTTTCCTCTATACGAAAGAGTTCAAAAGACCATTACCACTACTGGCCAGCAGATGGCGCAAAATTCATAATCTTTAGTAAGGAGCTGTCCATGATAGAAGTGCTGAACCTGGCTGCCTTTCCATGTCTCCACCGCATTTCACAATAAAAACACAGTCTACCTCATTAAATGGTCTACATATGAATGATAATAAAACAAATTAATTAATACAGCTGTATTTTTATTTTACCTATCCTGTAGATTTTTTAACAATATTGTTTGGTACCTAATATCTATTCAATGTATCCCATCCATGCTAATAACTTTATTTTGAAAAAAATATATGTTGATTCCTCCCATGTCCCTGTATCAATGATCCATATAAAGGGTTGTGAGTGTTGACCATATAGCTGACCATAACCCTCTTCACCACAAGATGAACTGTGTTCTCTCCCAGGTGACTGTTAGTGAGGTATCTTAGTGTTTTCCTGAGTACACCATTAATGGAGAGAGAGAGAGAGAGAGGTAAACAGTTATAGACATTTGCCAACATGATGAATCTTGATGGAATCCATCCCACATGTTTAAATAGGAAAGGTTAATTCAACTCAAAAAGATTTATTGCCACAAATTTACATAAGACAAAAAAGTATCTTTGACAAGTGGCTCATTAACATAGGACAAAACAACAACAATACAACAACAACAACACTGTTTGTTGTTGTTTGCTGATGAAAGGAGCATCATGCCCCTTTACTGTGAGTGTCGTCAACAGCTCCTCTGTCTGCTGTCTGTCTGTCTGTCTGTCTCTCCCTGCCCTGCCTCAGAGGTGACATGGGAGGACCAGCAGAAAGGCCTGAATGGTTCTCTTTCTGACGGAGGAACACAGCCAGGTTTGTCTTGGACTGCGGTCCCAAATGGCACCCTATTTCCTATGTAGTGCACTACTTTTGACCAGGGCCCATAGAGCACTGGTCAAAGGTAGTGCACTATACAGGAAATAGGGTGCCATTTGGGACGCACACTTGGAATGGAGACCTTATGACCTCAACCTAATCTTGGCCCCTGGGGGCCTCTCACTGTGGTTATCCTTATCCAAAGGTCACAGAGGCTCTTGACCTCTGACCTCTGTACTTCTCCTCTCTGTGATGTGCAGTGATGCAGTGCAGCATGAGAGTGTTTGGTTTGCTGAGTTAGTCTTGTGGTCGGGTCTCTGAAAACTATGAACTTTTAGAATATTTTAAACATGTCTAATTAATCTCCATAACAATATGTTTTCTGCTCTGGGCTGTAGATATACATGTAAAAGAGTGTTGCCAGGCGTATCAGCTGTGAATGTTTAGAGATATTGTTTCTCAATTATCTTGTTGAGTGTCCATGGAAACACGTATGTAAATCTCCATGTATGGACGAATTACATGTAGATCCAATTATGATCCCTTATTATGTGACTGAGTGGGTGTGTGGGATGGACTTATGAAAGAGCTGTGTCAATGTAAATGATATATAGGCCTTCTAGAGACAATTAACTTGATTGAAGATCAATTTGAGGTAGATGAGATGAACGTCACTGAAAGTGTTCGTACTCATTCGTACTCAGTAAAGCTTCTCTTACTGCTGAATAAAAGTAGACTGGCTCTAACTGATACATAATGAATTCATTAGCTAGCACCTTGCTAAAATGCACCATGCCACCAGGACACTGCGACACATTTGAATTAAGAGTTGCATACGGACTGTTTTGCTTGGTATAGTTTCCTAGTTATCACCAGTTTGCTTGCCATGGATTGTGGTGTAGTGTTGTGTTGTGGTCTTTATGACACCATAGTTCAATGAGGGCAGTAGTTAATGACTTCAGCTTTAATGAAGCTTCAATGTTAGTCTCTCTCTCTCTCTCTCTCTCTCTCTCTCTCCTCTCTCTCTCTCTCTCCTCTCTCTCTCTCTCTCTCTCTCTCTCTCTCTCTCTCTCTCTCTCTCTCTCTCTCTCTCTCTCTCTCTCTCTGTAGTGCACAGATAATGGTGCACCCACTACACTGTGAAAGCATGACATGCGACTGTAGCAATATGCTGGAATCAATGAATATGTTTTCTGCTGAAGCCATCATGATTCAACCATGATTCATACAATGTTTGCAGTCATACTGTCAGCGGTATTGTACAACTCAACTCTGTGGCTCAGTATGCTCATACTGTAAGGGTCAGGTGATGACTCTTTGACCACTTTCACCAAGCACTGGCCAATGTTTGGCCAAGATGACTCAAGACGAACAAAACAAGGATGATTATTTGATGACTATCTATATTTTTGTACATAATCTTACTATTCCGTTAGTCAGCACCTCGCCAAAATGTTTGGGTGTGCTTCAACTAATGCTTTTTACTGGATTGATGATTATTTGAACGGTGTTTATTTGTGTTATGTAAGGTATGCCATTGATGAGTTAACCTAGGACTTTTACCATGCTGTTGTAGCATGCTTTTGATGACAAGCCTTGACCTACAACTTATACCATGCTGTTGATGACAAGCCAAAAATTGCTTGCTCGCTTTGTTCATCTACAGCGGGTATCTCTTGACTTGACAATGAGGTGATATGAGTTGAGTTGGCACGGTGGTGTGATCAGATCAAAGCTGAATAAGGCAGATGTCTCACAGTGTTGTTTTATTCATGTCTCTCTTAATTATTCAACTTAATGAAGATGTAATTTACCTAAATGCAAATGTTGACTAAAGTGCATTACACATTAAGATCAATAATCAGAGTCTCGTCACCTGGCCTTACACATCGGCTCTGTCCCAAATGGCACCCTATTCCCTACATAGTACAGGGGCCTGGTCAAAAGTAGTGCACCACTTAGGAATTAGGGTGCCATTTGGGACACAGACAACAACTCGTATAGCTGCAGCTGTGGTTTGTTGTGGTCTCCCAGTGGGTGTACGCCAAAGCCTTCAAGATGGAAGCATACAAGAAAGGGGCAAGAGGAACGACAGGGGAGTAGGTGGGCACACATCCAGGAGTGGACAGTGTCACTTCAGTGAAGAGGGTCTTTGAGCTAACCACCCCCACCACAGCTTGCCCTGCCATAGTTAGCATAATCACTATGCCCGTGTGAATCCACAGTTTGTTCATTTGTTTATTTGGATCTCTTTTAGCCCACAATGGGGTCTTACTGTATCTTCCAAAATCCCATACAGTAAGTGTATCACTATGCCTGCGTGAAGCCACAGACGAGCCAGGAGGAGTGGAGTGCTCCATCTTTCTCTCTCTCTCTCTCTCTCTCTCTCTCTCTCTCTCGGTTCCATTATGCAAGATGATTTGCACACGGCAGGGGATGATTAATGAAAGTCTGATGAAAGCACAGCTCATCAAAACCTCAGCACATTCCTCCCAAGACACAGTGGAGGAATAGGAGTAGGATTATGTACTGGAGTAGGGGGGAAGATGGTTGTTAATTGGAGGCAAACAGAGGCTCTGGAGAGGAGAGAGGCTTCTAGTCGATCCCAGCTCTCTCTGTTGTGTAACCTGTTCATTCCCAGGGGTATTGCTGGGCCTACTCTCTCTGTGCCTCAGCCTCTATCACAACAACAAGGTTTCTGAAAGGAAGAAAGAAAGAAAGAAAGAATGGAATGAAGGAAGGAAGGAAGAAAGAAAGAAAGAAAGGAAGGAAGGAAGGAAGGAAGGAAGGAAGGAAGGAAGGAAGGAAGGAAGGAAGGAAGGTAGGAAGGTAGGAAGGAAGGAAAGAAACAAATAAAAGTTTGTAGTACTTACGTCAATTTCTTTGACTCTTTTGTTTGGTTGCTTTCTCTTTTGTACCTACTGCCGCCTCTCTGCCTGCTTTTGGTTGTTTTCATGTTCCAGGCTCTCCACAGTAGACTATTAGTCCCTGACTCAAGTGGCTCCCCCACCTCCTGTCTTCTACCTCTAAAGTGTTTTAGGGTTTCTGCCTGCTTTGTCAGCTCCAATACTCTTTCTCCTTCCATTAACTTCTACTTGACTGTTTCAGCTCTCTTTCCTCTGGACAGTACACAGCAGCTCACCTTTCCCCCTCTTTCTTTTTCAGTAACACTACAGGTCTTTTACTCCAGCCTCTCCCGGCCTGCCTTGCACCCTTCTCTTCTCTTCACTTTTTCTTCTTGGCTGTCCATTAGTGCAATTTGTGGTGGTGTGATCTTTCTTTGTTGTGCTGTATGATTTTGTATGTGTTGTTGTGCTCTGTGCTTGTTGTTGTTGTTGTTGTCGTTGTTTTGTGCCACCCCCCTCCCCATCATGCCCCCCCCCCCCCCCCCCCCCACACTCTGACCCCCACCCGACCTGTGCGGCGCCACTGTCCATGGTGTCACCCCTTTCACTCCCATCTCCTGTCCTCTGTCTGTGTCTGTGTTTTGTCATGTGACCCCAGAAGACACGGACTCACCAGGTTGGACCAGCTCAGGTCTGTCCCTTCCTCTTCTGTATGCCTTCCCTTTTTACCTCCTCCTCCTCTTCTTCCTCATCCCTCCTCTTCCTCATCCTTCCTACTCCTGCTTTCTCATGTCCATTCTTCCCTGCTGATTGAGCTTGTTGGAGATGTCTTTTTTGGGATTGATTTTACTCAGTTTGTGTGTGCTTGCATGGTCATACATGTAAACTGTGTTCATTGTAACATGTCTGTTGTTAGGCTATATTAAATCCTGCCGACATTTCATTGAGGCATGTTGTACAAATACAACCTAGGAATCCTGATATCCCACCGAGTGGCAGAAAGTGCATCTCATTCTGTACCATTGTCTTTACAAGGCCTATTGTTGTTTAACTACAACATAAGGTCATATCTCATCAACTGTCATATAAAGCTGACGGACAGGACAGGACAGGAAATCATATTCATGTGTTGCAGAAAAACTAACATGGATGCTGTCCTTTCATTTCTCATCATTCCTGGAGATCGTCATTTAGTCTCATCTATTATCTTTCTACATTCATTTGCTCTTTGTTTTTGTGTTTTCTTTCTCTCATGCGCCTGTTTTTCCTCTCCCCACCTACATCATACAAATCTAAAGTAGAGAGAGTGAAAGTGTGTCCAGAGAATGGTGATGCAGGTAAGATAGCTAGAGTTACTGTAGTCTGCCTGACATCACTAAGTGAGGTCGTCCCAAATGGCACTTTCCCCATTCCCTAGTCTAGTGTATTCTGTTGGACTGGAGCCACATATAGAACACTATATAGGGAATAGGGTGCCTCTGATCTGAATACTCCCCACACTACAGACTGACTGACTGATCTAACTGACCTGACTGACCTGACTGACTGACTGACCTGACTGACCTGACTGACTGACTGACTGACTGACCTGACTGACCTGACTGACCTGACTGACCTGACTGACCTGACTGACTGACTGACTGACCTGACTGACCTGACTGACTGACTGACCTGACTGACCTGACTGACCTGACTGACCTGACTGACCTGACTGACCTGACTGACTGACTGACTGACTGACTGACCTGACTGACCTGACTGACCTAACTGACCTGACTGACCTGACATGCTCACTGTGGCATGTGGACAGCCACGTTTTTCCCCCAAAGCCTCTGTGAGCTCTGGGAGGTTGGTGGCTGCTTGCAAGAAATATTATGAATAAATCATTCAGTAAAATAAACTCGGACAAAGAGGAGGTTGTATAGCAGGGCTCCAGACCCAACAGAGCATGTCTGAGATTTTGACACAGAATAACTGGCAATTACACCTTTCATTCCATCCCTTCACGTAAACTCCAAGTGAACCCCTTCATTATGAAATGTAATATTTCTTACAAGTTGTTGTTTGGGTTTTCCTACTGTTCATTTTGCCGGCTGCTATGTGACATCATGGTCATGGATTGACTGACTGTTGGTGTCTGGGTGAACTAACTCTGAACGCTGCATGCAGCACTTTTATAGAATAACATTGTCATGTGAAAATGATAGCCGAATATTACTCAGAGAGCACAGTGAAAGCACCAAAAACACAACAACAGTAAAGTGGGGATGATTTGTCAGTCTTTGGATCATAGTAATGCGGGGTTCCTAAATCAAAGTAGAAACCTTGTATTTTTTATGCTGATATCTTGAGGACTTGTTCAGTCAGTGCTTTATAACAGCACCCCCAAAACATTCCAAAAGACTGTTCCTGAGTAGCGTTGCAAAATTCCGGTAATTTTCCCAAAATTCCCAGGTTTTCCAGAAATCCTGGTTGGAGGATTCTGGGAGTCTTCCAACCAGGATTTCCCTATTCCTGAGTATGACCTCCACTGACCGCTCTGCTCCCCAGGTGCTATGGATGTGGAGGAGAGGACCAGACAGATGAAGCTGAAGGTTAACATGTTCAAGCAGGGGGCCGGGTCCGATTCCAGACTGGAACAGGACAACAACAAGGCAAGACACAGTGACACAGCACTTCTTTCCCTTTCAGAACTAGAACATTGTTGGCATCACACTTTTTATACAAACAAACTGACTTAGAGTTACATTAACACGTCCATGTTCAGTAAATGTGAAGCAGGACTATCACTCCTAAGGCAAGACCAAGTCCAGTCCTTCCTTCCCATTCTATTCAGAACATGGTCATTAAGTAGATGCTTTGTATACAAACTGACTTACAGCTAACACAGAAAAAGTTCAGTAAATGTGGAGGAATCAACTCAAAGCCGAGCAGGATGTTAACAGCATCATACTCAAACCCACTGAGACATCAACAATCGAAAACATTTTCTTCTAAACACCCACTCCAGCAGGATTCAAAGTTTGACAATCTTCACAAACAAGGATACGTACATACATGATGTATTATAGCGACCCTGTGAATCCATGGAATGTAGTGGTGACTGTGTCCAGAGTCACACAGACACTAGTTAAGTGTAGTGTGTTTATAAAGAGACAGTCTGGGGGCCTCACCAGAGCCCGAGCCAAGCCTTATAAGAGAAAGCATGTCCATCCTGTCCTGTCTTCCTTTTAAGTGTGTGGAATGAGAACTACACTAAGCATGCATCTACACTTATAGTTCTATACAAAGCAGGTAGAACATGAAACATTTGTCAGCTCTGTTAGTTGTGAGGAGCGCCACGAGATACAACCGTATGTTTAGAAATTGTAATGCTCCTCTGGACACAAAGAAAAGCTTTTAATATACAATCTCTTTCTTTGCAGAGGATTTTAGTTTCTTTATTTATAACTAACTATTTTCTTACAATAACATTATGCAATCCGGTTTCCGAGCTGGTCATGGGTGCACTTCAGCCACGCTCAAGGTCCTAAACGATATTATAACCGCGATCGATAATAGACAGTATGTGCAGCCGTCTTCATCGACCTGGCCAAGGCTTTCGACTCTGTCAACCACCGCATTCTTATTGGCAGACTAAATAGCCTTGGTTTCTCAAATGACTGCCTCGCCTGGTTCACCAACTACTTCTCAGATAGAGTTCAATGTGTCAAATCGGAGGGCCTGTTGTCTGGACCTATGGCAGTCTCTATGGGGGTGCCACAGGGTTCAATTCTTGGGCCGACTCTTTTCTCCGTGTATATCAATGATGTCGCTCTTGCTGCTTGTGACTCTCAGATCCACCTCTACGCAGACGACACCATTTTGTATACATCTGGCCCTTCATTGGACACTGTGTTAACAAACCTCCAAACGAGCTTCAATGCCATACAACACTCCTTCAGTAGCCTCCAACTGCTCTTAAACACTAGTAAAACTAAATGCATGCTCTTCAATCGAACGCTGCTGGCACCCGCCCACCCGACTAGAATCACTACTCTCGACGGGTCTGACCTAGAGTATGTGGACAACTACAAATACCTAGGTGTCTGGTTAGACTGTAAACTCTCCTTCCAGACTCACATTAAGAATCTCCAATCCAAAGTTAAATCTAGAATCGGCTTACTATTCCGCAACAAAGCCTCCTTCACTCATGCTGCCAAACATGCCCTCGTAAAACGGACTATCCTACCGATCCTTGACTTCGGCGATGTCATTTACAAAATAGCCTCCAACACTCTACTCAGCAAATTGGATGTAGTCTATCACAGTGCCATCCGTTTTGTCTCCAAAGCCCCATACACTACCCACCACTGTGACCTGTACGCTCTTGTTGGCTGGTCCTCACTACATGTTCGTCGTCAAACCCACTGGCTCCAGGCCATCTATAAATCACTGCTAGGCAAATCCCCGCCTTATCTTAGCTCATTGGTCACCATAGCAGCACCCACCCGTAGTCTGCGCTCCAGCAGGTATATCTCACTGGTCATCCCCAAAGCCAACACCTCCTTTGGCCGCCATTCCTTCCAGTTCTCTGCTGCCAATGACTGGAACGAATTGCAAAAATCTCTGAAGCTGGAGACTCTTATCTCCCTCACTAACTTTAAGCATCAGTTGTCAGAGCACCTTACCGATCACTGCACCTGTACACAGCCCATCTGAAATTAGCCCACCCAACTACATCATCCCTATATTGTTATTTATTTTGCTCTTTTGCACCCCAGTATCTCTATTTGCACATCTAGCATTCCAGTGTTAATACCAATTGTAATTATTTTTGCACTATAGCCTATTTATTGCCTTACCTCCATAACTTGCTACATTTGCACACACTGTATATATATTTTCTGTTGTATTTTTTGACTTTGTTTTACCCCATATGTAACTCTGTGTTTGTTGTTTTTATCGCACGACTTTGCTTTATCTTGGCCAGGTCGCAGTTGTAAATGAGAACTTGTTCTCAACTGGCTTACCTGGTTAAATACAGGTGAAATAAAATAAATACATAAAAAATTATGTCTTGGTACACCAACTTGCTGTAAAAAAAATAAGAAAGATATCCTTTGCCCATTTCATGTTTATGCCAAATGATTTTGATTAGCTTACATTTTGACTTTACACACCTACTGTGCAAATGGATAAACAGTATGTTCTAAGCTGGGAGAACAATTTACTATCGCTCAAGATTATTTGATTATATAACCTAGTATTGCTCTGTGTTCTCCTCCTAGAACATTGGCCATAATGAATGTGAATGAACTGTTCTTTGGCTAACAATTGTTTTTGGACGAACGGATCTCCTTAAAAAGCCAACAAATCATTGAAAGCAAAGCTTTTGGCCACATTAAAGTTTGTTCTATTGTCCTTTATCTAATAATTTCTAATTAATACTTTGATAAATTCATTATCCACAAGACTATTTAAAATATTTGTATTCAAATTTTATTATCTACATCATATATGTGGTCCTCTGTAGCTCTGCTGGTAGAGCACGGCGCTTGTAACGCCAAGGTAGTGGGTTCGATCCCCGGGACCACCCATACACAAAAAAAAAAAAAAATGTATGCACGCATGACTGTAAGTCGCTTTTGATAATAGCGTCTGCTAAATGGCATATTATATACACTGAGTGTACAAAACATTATGAACACCTGCTCTTTCCGTGACATAGACTGACCAGGTGAATCCAGGTGAAAGCTATGATCCCTTATTTATGTAGATGGCAGGTAGCCTAGCGGTTAAGGTAGCTAAGAGGTTTGGGCAGAAAGGTTGCAGATTCGAATTCCTGAGCTGACTAGGTGAAAAATCTGTCAATGTCCCCTTGAACAATGCACTTAACCCTAACTGCTCCTGTAAGTCGCTCTGGATAAGAGCGTCTGCTAAATGTAAAAATTTAACTTGTTAAATCCACTTCCATCAGTGTAGATGAAGGGGAGGAGACAGGTTAAAGAATGATTTTTAAGTCTTGAGACATGGATTGTGTATGTGTGCCATTCAGAGGGTGAATGGGCAAGACAAAAGATTTAAGTGCCTTTGAGCGGGGTATGGTGCCAGGCGCACAGGAGGTTGGTGGCACCTTAATTTGTCACGATTTAACTGGATATGAACCCAAATGCAGACAACTACACCAAGCCAGAGAAGGTTTAACAGGTTTATTTACAAAGTTCAATTGTCCAGGGTTCCAAAAATAGGGGAAGAGCAAGTCCAGGTCTACAGGGAGGGTAACAGATCCAGGTTCTGAGCAGGAGTGGTACCGTAACATCCTAGTGTCCGTGGTGAGTCCAAAAGGGAGGTCCAGTAGTGGGAAGCAGGATGGTGGTGGCAGGAGTGAAGCGGAGGCAGGAGTCAGGTTCCAATAATCTGTGGCACAGGAGAAAAGTAAATAGAACAGGCCAAAAACACAAAGAGCGAAAACAAGCAGGTTGAGTCAGCAGCGAGACTAACATGGTCGTCTTGACTATGATCTGACGATGAGTGGCAAGTTTGACCGGGTCTTTAAGGCTGAGGTGATTATGGTGAATGAGCTGCAGCTGGAACCCTGACTCCCGCACACCAGACTTCACTCCTGCAATCAAGAACAGACAGAGGGGAGGGGGAGAGCAGAGAGAGACCTACCTAGCAGCAGTAGGCCTAACATAATTGGGGAGAACGGGCTTGTTGTAATGGCTGGAGCGGAATCAGTGGAATGGTATCTAACACATGGTTTCCATGTGATTGATGCCATTCCATTTGCTACGTTCCAGCCATTATTATGAGGCGTTATCCCCTCAGCTTCCTCCACTGGCCAGGCGCACCGGTTTGTGTCAAGAACTGCAACACTGCTGGGTTTTTCACACTCAACCGTTTCCCGTGTGTATCAAGAATGTTCCACCACCCAAAGGAGATCCAGCCAACTTGACACAACTGTGAGAAGCAATGAAGTCAACATGGGCCAGCATAAAGAGCTTTTATTTTGTCTTAAAGGGGCAGTGTTTTATTTTGAGGCAGGCTTGAATAAGCTAAGCAGCAAATAGGCAGAGGGAAGCATAATTAGTCTGATTCTCTGTAGTAATGGTATGGGAATAATAATGCATTTTATTTATCGAAGTGGTTTCTTGCATCAAACAACCCAACAACATTTTCAGTCACCTCCTTGTCTGAGTGGATAAAGGTTCATGTCAAGCCTTGCATGTTTATTTTTGTAGGCCTACATTGAACACCACACATTGGCTGCTACTGTAGCCGGCTGAATGATAGAACAGCTATTTCCATGTTAAAATGTTATGGGGTGCATTTTCTCCAAGCGGTACCAGAGCACAAAGTCTAGGTCCAAAAGGCTTCTTAACAGCTTCTACCCCCAAGCCATAAGACTCCTGAACAGCTAATATGGCTACCTGGACTATTTGCAACAACCCCCCCCACGCCCCCCCCTACATATTACCTCAATTACCTCGATTAACCTGTGCCCCCGCACATTGACTCTGTACCGGTACCCCTGTATATAGCCTCGTTGCTGTTATTTTATTGTTGCTCTTTAATTATTTGTTATTTTTCTATTTTCTACTTTTTTTTTTTTTTTTTTACTTCAGGTTATTTTAGTAAATACTTTCTTAACACTTCTTTTTCTTAAAACTACATTGTTGGTTAAGGGCTTGTAAGTAAGCATTTCACTGTTGTATTCAGCGCATGTGACAAATAAAATTTGATTTTGATTTGATTATGATCAAATAGCCACAGTAGCCTAATTGACCACTGTTAAAACTAACTTCAAGCGGGTACAGCTTCAGTGTTCACAGTAAACGCGCGCTGGAAGTTGCACAGAATATTCACAACGTTCAAGTTTGCGCTCAGCAGACCTGAAATTTGCTCAATCCCTAAAACAATTAGAAGGAACATTGGCCAGCATCCTTGTGGAATGCTTTCGACACCTTGTAGAGTCCATGCCCCAATGAATTGAGGCTGTTCTGAGGGTTAAAGGGGGGGGTGCAACTCAATAATTATGAAGGTGTCCTTAATGTTTTGTACACTCAGTGTATATAGGGACGTCAAAAGAAAAAACGCATCAAGGGACACAGTCATTACCAGTAAGTAGTATTTTCAAGTCTATTTTTAGTCATGTGCTGAGTGGTGTGTGTTTCTCCTCTACAGCGGAGGGATGGTCAGCGAGGTTCAGACAACATGTCAGCCAAGTCTTCGGACAGTGATGTAAGCGACGTGTCCGCTGTGTCGAGAACCAGTAGTGCCTCTCGGTTCAGCAGCACGAGCTACATGTCTGTCCAGTCAGAACGGCCGCGAGGAAACCAGAAGATCAGGTAGGAAGCAGCAACACATACCAAGGGCAGACAGAAGCCCTAGGTCCAATACCTCTGCCTTGCCAGGGATGGGCAAACCCCAAAGGCTGTGAACCTTTCTTCTAACTAAAGTTGCCAAGTCCAGACATTTTCCACAATGAAAATAGTTTTCACTTGGTTTCTTAACTTTAGAGGGAAATGCACAGCTAGCATCGTGCTATTCCCCACCGTCCAGTGAGTTCAGGTTTGGCTCTGCCTAGGTGAAAATGGAGCTAAATGTTTGAACTCTACTGCGTCAGGTTGGGGTTTGCCCGTAACTGGTAACTCATACTGTGGTTGTCTCGTGTTGGAACATAACAGAAATACATATGCATGGCACTGAATGTCTAGGTTTTTTGCTTTATTTTCCTTATAGCTTTGCTGTTTTATGTATGTTACCTTTTTTCTCATTGTTGACATTATTTCTGCAGTTTGGTTTCACATACCTTTCTTTCGTTTCCTTTCTGCTTTGCATGCGCCGCGTTTGTGCTTCTGTCATGTCCTCATCTATTCCGAATCAAGGAACCAATCACGGGAAGTGGATGAACATTTGGGGGAGGTGCTGGAGGAAGAGGAAGTGCGGGGGGAAGCGGGGGGTACACATAGAGGGCAGGGTAAACAGAGGGAAGGGGAGGAGGAGGAGGCTAAAGAGGAAGGAGGTCAGAGGAGGACCACTGTAGTCACACAGAAGTCACAGGAGGAGATGGATGAAGAGGAAATGCTGCGGAGGAGGTTCTCAGAGACTGACCTCAGGTAACTAGTTAACTAGTTCACCAGTCTGACCTCAGTCTAACCTCAATACAACCTCCGGTCAAACCTAACCTGACCTCAATCTAACCTCAATCCAACCTCCGGTCAAACCTAACCTGACCTCAATCTAACCTCAATCCAACCTCAGGTCAAACCTAACCTGACCTCAAACAAACCTCAATCCAACCTCAGTCAGGTCAAACCTTACCAGTCCACCCTCAATCTAACATGATTCTAACATCAATTCATTATTTATTTGATTATTTATGTGGAATCCCAGTTATCATGTTCCCATAATGTTTTACATGAATCTTTTATATTAAACACATGACAGTTGTTTCATTTCAACAGTGAGGATAGTCCTCATAACAGAGGCTGCAAAAGTATGTCAAGATTAGAACAAATTGATTTGGAACCCTGTGGGTTCTTCTCAGCAGCAGGCTAACAGATTAGTTTAGCTGTCTAATAAGATGTAATCAGTGTTACATCGCATTCACAGCGGGAACTAAGAGCTTCTTACAAACAGACTCTATGTTTTGTCTGGTTTTGAAAAAACACATCAAGCTAAATGCTTAGATCTTATTAAGTAAAGTGTTACCGATGTGGACACACACAGGTCACTCAAAGTTATGGTACACTAGGCTGTAGTCAGTCAGTTGCTAAATCACTTGTTGTCTGTCTGTACCTCTCAATGTTGGGTCAGTTTTATGTCCTTTTCCTTGCCTGTGCCTGGCTCTATGTGCTTGTAAACCCAGCTGACCCTGAGCCTGACCCTGACCCCATAACCCAGTCCACAACTACTGTTGTCTTTCTTTGGCCTTCAACTTCAACCCTGGCTGTTAATGCTTCAGCTGCTCTCTTTGTAATCCCTTTGGATGTCTGTACAGTACCTCGAACGATCACTGAAAACCAGGAAGGTTGATGGTAATAGTAATGTTCTGGGTAGTGGTACAGTAAAAGCCTGTGTTCCATGTTGCCAAACCAGTACTCCAGTGACACAGCGTCAGAGAGCATGGAGTGGATGATGAGTCTGTCTTTGTGAATGAAAAGCAGATGGATAGAGAGATGGAGAGCACAGGGTTCTGATGAAGTGGTTTTCCTCACGCTGCTATGTACCTTTCTGTTACTTCATTATTGTGTGCTCCAAGGTAATGCTGTCAACCAGCCTTATTATGGAGATCTTAACATGGACGCGGAGGCAGGACTGTTATTTTACACAATACAGGAGATGATCCCAGACAGACAGATAGACAGAGAGGAGCACTATTTGAGTGGCTTTTCCGCTCGGTTGGCTTAACAATTTGATATATAAGGGGTGAGATGAACAAGGCTAACTAGCATGCTACATGGACAGTTTTGTAATAGAATGAATGATGTTCAAATCTGGCAATATAAGGGCATTGTATAGAAACCCAAACCTCTTCAATAACTCAATAAGGATAGTGAATGGCTACAGTGGCCATAGATTGCTCAGGGACATACATGACAGGCATTATTCTCTGTTTTTCCTTTGAGGGTTTTGTGCTGGGAAACGGTTATTATGTTCATAGTCTTCACAATCCAATCTCAAAACCAATGTTAGACGTCTCCTCTCAGTTCAGTTGTTTTCAGATGTTTTAATGATTTACAGCAAGGAGATAAAGATAACCTTTTTACCACACGTAATCAAATTATAATATAATAGGGATCAATCAATGGACAGGTTTATTTCATATAAAGTGTATAATACAACTCAAGCTCTTTTGTCATGCACTTTGTACCAATGCACGCACGCCCGCGCACGCACACACACACACGCACATGCACACACACACACACACGCACACACACGCACACACACACACACACACACACACACACACACACACACACACGCATACGCACACACACACGCACATGCACACACACACCACACACACACGCACACACACACATGCACACACACACACGCGCGCACACACGCGCGCGCACACACACACACACACACAACTGAACTAAGCTAAGGGACTAGACGGTCGCCAGTGGTGTCAAGGAAGTTATGATCTTTCCGTCAGCACATTTAAATACACACACACAAACACCTCATTCTTCTCCATTCTCTTGAATCCATTATTGTTACCTGGTTAACTGCTCATTCTTGTGAGTTAAAGTAAAGACTAATATATTGAAGGACAAATATGTCTTTAACAATAAAGGTAGATTAAACGGATAAACAACTCTACACTTAAACTCAAGGGAAGCTATACAGAGAAATTGTGAAACAAGGCACATCTCAGTATATCCTATTCTTATTCCCAATAAGCCTCCCTGAATACCTCAGTCACTCAACGTTGAGACTCAGCCGTCTATCTGTGTGTCTGTGGCTCATGTAGACAGGAGGAGAGGAGTATGCACCCAAACACTCTGACCGGGAGCACGGTTTCCATAGAAACCAATTATTTCTGCATCACCTCAGTTTTAGCGCCGCTCTTTCTGCAAGATGATCTAGATCACACAGTAGAGGCTGCTGAGGAGGAGAGAGGGGATACGGGAGAGGGGAGAGGGGAGGGGTGGGGATAGGGGAGAGGGGAGGGGTGGGGAGGGGGGAGAGGGGAGGGAGGGGAGGGGGGATAGGGGATAAAGAAAAGGTTTGTCTTTCCTGAGATTATCATATCTGACATTCATCATTCATCAACCAGTTGTCAAGGTGCCTGTCGGTCACTGTCAGTTGAGTGACGGAAGTTATTTACAGTTAGCTTGAATTAGTATTACTCATTTGAAAAGCTGTTTTGAGAAAAAAATATCCTTTCAATCATATTTTCCAACATCAGTTCAAGCATTTTCATGCTTTTGTTGAAGTATATTAGTCTAAATCAAAAATGTGCAGAGGCGGTGCTAATTTTACCTAAGAACAAACCTACATTGAACATGCATTCAATTGCTGCTCAGCTCCTCGGATAGGCGCCAACCAGACTAAATCCTTTTGGCCCGTGAAGACACAGAAATACTTGTGCAGCTCTTGTTTTAGCTGAGGGAACATCTTGGCCTAGATGAAAATGAAACACGCAGCAACAATCTGCATGACAAGGAAGGAACACAGTGTTGATTTGTTCGGTTAGCTGGGGTTGAAACCAGTCCCTGGAGAGGCTCAGTGTTTCAAGCTGCTCCGCACCGAGCGCTGTGGGGACAGACCCTGACACAAGACTCAGCCATGAGCTGGGGAGTGGGGTGGGAGGATCCATAACACTAGATGGGAGATTTTGGTACATCATTAAGGCATGCTTTAGCTCTCATAGACTATCACCTCAACTAACGACTCAGATAAACTGCAGCCATGTATAGCCTTGTTGGAGGTCTGTCTGTCTGGGATGTAGCATGAAGCCAGGCAAAATAAATGCTGCTTACATAATCATATTGATGGGATCAATAAAAGGAATCATATTGATCTTGCATTAATATTTGACTATGTATAAGAGCAGCCCACAACTTCACTGTTATCATTTTGTGTCAGTAGATTCAACAACACCACCACAGTATAGATAAAGAGCATATGTAAATAAACCCACTGCGTTTGTTGCCCTTGAAGTCACTTCTTCTTCAAAGGTTCCGAGGTGCTTTATTGGAGACTAATCCTCCAATAATCCTCCAATATTTATGTGATCCATGACAGAACAGCTCTCACTAACACTACTTACTATTATAAACATTGAGCTTTATGAGGTGTGCTTGTAATTTACATCTGCGTTATTTAACCACCAACCATGACCGTGCAAAACAACACAGGGTGGCAAAGTTAAACAAGGCTGTTATCCAATAGAACATTCTAGATTTTAATTTTGAAGAGAAGATTTTCCTCTAATATGGTTTTAGCTAGTTTCAACAAGTCTTCTATAAAGACAGGAAACTCCTAAATTCACCTGTTGGCAAAATAATGAATAATACAAATACAGAGAGGAGTGAGCTGAGAGCCTAGGAAGCTTGGATTAATGCTCAGTCATCTCTGCCCTAATTTATGGGAGAAGTAGAGAGAGAATAGTGTGGGCTAGATCTCATTCACCTCCTCTCTGACTGGCCACATGCATCCACTGAACTGAGCTCAATAGAAACACTTTTTGCTGGTACTGTACTGCATTCAGACTGAGATGAACGGGGTTAGGCCAGGGAACTTTCCAGAAGTAGTATCATGGTGTACTTTGTCAGTATCATAACAGCAGGTATATTGCGAAAATGCTTTAAACAGACAATCAACCTTTTGAAGATCAGTGTGTTTCACAGAGTTCCATCCTGACCTTCTGACCTCTCAGAGATGATCAGGGAGATGAGAGGTGGAGAGAGGAATAATTATCTCTGTACGTGACACCTCTAACTCCGTCATCTCTATCACACTGGCCCTTCTAATGACTGTGTGTGGCACCTGAGGTCCAACAGAACAGGGCCACCTTCCACCCTCACTTAATGAGTCTATTAGCAAGGCCTCTCTCTCTCTCTACTTTCTCTCTCTCCCTCCTTTCAATTCAATTCAATTTCAATTTCAATTCAATTTCAATTTAAGGGCTTTATTGGCATGGGAAACGTATGTTAACATTGCCAAAGCAAGTTAACATTTCTCTCTCTCTCTCTCTCTCTTCGACGTTATCTCTTTTGTTTGTCTCTCTCTCTCCTCTCTCTCTTCTCTCTTTTGTTGTCTCTCTCATCTCCCGGTCTCTCTCTCTCCTCTCGTTCTGGTTCTCTCTCTCCTGCTCTCGTCTCTCTCTCTCTGGTTCTCCTCTCTCCCTTCTCTCTCTCTCGTTCATCTCTTTGGTTGTCCTCTCTCGTCTCCTCTCTCTCTCTCTGCTCCCTCTCTGGGTTCTCTCTCCTTCTCCCCCCCCCCCCCCCTCCGGTTCTCTCTCTCCTTTCTCTCTCTGTGTCTCACTCTAACTATCTGTCTTTCTATCTCCCTCCTTTCTCCCCCTCTCTCTCTCTCTCTCCTTTTTCTCTTTCTCTCCTTTCTCTCTCTCTCGTTCTCTCTCTCTCTGTCGTTGTCTCTCT